GTGCTAAGGGGTAAAATAGGAATATGAGATCAGGGAATGAAGAGAGTTTCTAAGTGACTTTAGCTAAACAGTATTTGACTCGGTGTACCTGCAGCACAGGTGTAAGAAAGCAAGGGCTGACACCTAAACTACCTCCTGCGAGGTGTTTCATTGTCTCATCAGCAGTTCCAAGTCACTGCCAGCCTCGGGGTGATGACTAGGAGTTCATGGTTTTCACAAGGAAGCTGCTAAAATTAGAGATACTACATCACCTGCGCTACTTCTAGTTATTGGGCTGGAGTTTCCACTTAAAGACAGAAAGATGCAGGCAGAGAGACACCTATACACATATATATCAAAAGAAGTTTAGAAATCATATTTCTGAAGAAAAGAACACATTATTTATTTTAATATAACAGGAAATATTTGGCCTTTTTTTTGTGTGTGTCTCATGTTAGCTCTACCTAACACTATAATAGACCATATTTTTTTGCTTTGCAAAAGGATTTTGCAGCTTTCATATTTATTTTATGTTACTGCTTAAGGGTCCAGGGAAATGTTTATATGACTAAACATTGGTTTCAGTGTCAATTCCCATTGATTCACTGTTAATTTCTTTCTGCAGTCAAAAGGCTGTTAGAAATGTTTTGTCTCAGTGATTTGCTACACATCGATGATGCCTGGCCATATAAATCTAATTTCTGAGACAGCAGGTTCTAGCAGCAGGCACCAGACCAGAGATACATGGTGAGAGCAATGGAGGACTCCAAAATACCATGAGTTCCCCGTGGAGTTCCATCTCCCGAGCCCCAGGGTGGGAGGTGGGGTTTGACCCCCACTGGCCTCTTGACCAAAGCAACTCTGGATTGAGATCTGAATCCATAAGTTGACCGAATACACCCTCTGTTCCTTCCTGCTGTTGCCCCTCAAGGTTTTGGTGACCAGTAAGATTTGACCCGTCCAGCAGCTTGAGATGCAGTGGATCAGCAGATTTACACATTACAGCTTTTCTGACAGTTCTCACTTACAAGAGTCAGACACGAACGTGTGACGTGTGTTATGGTCACTGACCGCTTCTAACTTAATCAAAAGTTCCTGGCATGAACTTCTTAAAACTCGCCATGCGTTTCCTCCCGCCGCTGCCAGATCTTACTTGCACAGTCAGAAAATGCTTCCGGCCAAACTCATGAAAGGCAAATGCAATTAAGCAATAAATGCAGCCTTCCTCTGGCAAGTAAAGCCCAGTTGCTGGTGCCTAACAATTCCCTAGGTGGACTTAGTATCTTTTCTGTTAATACCAGGTAGATAAAATTTATATTAATATGAATTTATTGATATTTACTAATATTTTATGTTAATTCTACAATGAATACTAATGTATAATTTTCAATATTACTAGATGCCTCATATTAACATTTGCAATGACTTCTCATATTGAATTGCATCAAATGAAACATTTCATTTAATCCACAAAAAATTTTTAAGTGAAAGCTACAAGTCAGAACTGACTGTTTTCAAACTGAGCTGAAATATATATAATAAATAAGTATGCAATCATATGAATATATAATTATACACTGTATTTATAAAAACATAAATTAAAAGGCAATCAGTTGAAAAGCCTGACTAAGGCTACATAACCATCTATATTTAGACATGGAAGTTTGAAAAATCCCACAAGCTGACCTAAGCCTTTCTCCTTTCCTTGCTATCACTTCCTCTCGTAGCAAGTCAAAGCCCGGATGACTAGCAGATATTTTGCTTTTTACGTACCTTTCCCTAAGCTCTGCCTCACTGTAAATTTCCAGGAGTGTTTGCACAACATTGTGTCCAGCTTCTGAGCAGCAGAAGGGATTATTTCCTAGCTCCTGTATTTGTCCCCTCAGCTTTCTGCAGCTCAAGTGGAATGGCAGGCGAATACCAAGCCCTTTGCAGAGCAAAGGAGGTGGTTTCAGAAGACAGAGTGAGATTTTTTCCTTGGGGAACAAGAGTAGCTGGTAGAGAGGACACATAGGAGCCAGGAGTTGACACTCACCTTGCACAAGCTCAGCTTGCACAGGTTGAACCCTCATTCCAGCAAAAACTTTGCCTCCTGGGCCTTGGGGTCTTGTGTGCACAACTTCTCAAGTGAGAGGTTGGAATTTGTCTAAAACAAGATAGATTCTTAATTTTCTTAGAGTAACTTTACCAGCCCAGGAACTGGAGTATTCCTCTGGAACTGCAGCTACTCAAACCAACAAGAGACCAAGGCTCAGCTTTACTGCATCCCTAGTGATGGTCTTGGTCACTGAAAAAGACCTGAATCCCCTTGTGTGGGGTGTGCTTTACTACATGCAAAGATCCCAATCAAGATCCTAAAATACAGCCTTTTGACTTTTGTGCTCAGTAGACAAGGTGATGAGTCATGAAAAACCACTAGTTTCCATCCTGCAACATAGAGAACTCATCCTATATCCTGCCTTAGAACACAGGCAAGGGAGGTATTTACTTCCTTTTCAGCAGTTTCAGCAATCAGACTATTGCATAAGTGTTGTTTTGTTCACTGCCAGTGTGGTTTTAACAGGGTTTAGCATGGAAGGTCTCTGCTCGCAGCAGTATCAACTCACTCAGTGACGTGATCCTTCAAAAGGAGCACCAATTCCATTTGCATCAGTCATCCCTGATGGCTGGCAGGGAAACACACGCTGCCAAAATCCAGTACTGGATTTGCAGTTCCCATGGCAGAAGCCTGGATAAGATCCCGGGCAAAGTGTTGCAGGGATGTAGGGAGAACTTGGGTGAAACATGGCACTCCCAGGAATGCACATTAGAAGTGACTGGCCTTCAGGCTTGATCTCAAGCCTCAACCTTTTCATGCCACTATTGTCTCTTACACCCCTTCACATAATCCCAATGAAACCGCAACATCAGCAAAAAAGTGGAGGGAGAGGAGATGCTTCAGCTCTCAGAAAACATAGTGGATTTACATTTCATTACAAACATCCTGCTATTTTAGATAGATACTCTTGGCTTGGGGGCAGGGCTAAGCATAGGTGGAGCAGGCTCTTTTGGCTTCACTTCTGACCTGGGGATTTCTGCAGATCCATTACTGCCACACGCAGGAAATAGCTGAGTGTGGCGGTAAGGAGGACAAGCACTCACTGAGTTCCCTTGGGGATTTGAAGGGGAATTCTCCTTTTTTTCCCCCAAGTATTGATAACATTTGAGTATGCACCAAAATTAGACAATAAGGCTGCAAATAATAGAAAAGTGGGACCCCTAATCGAATGTTAATTAACCTCTGTGTGTGTGCATACATGTGTGAGACACAGAGATAAGAAGCCAAAAGAAAAAAATCAGCAAAGCCTTGTTTCAAGTAAACTGGCTAAAACTCCAACATCTACAATCTGATGCTAGTGAAACCACACATTAATATAACATAAACATCATAATACAATATAAGTAATAAAACATAAACCTTAGTTCCTGGCAAAACCCTCTTCTGTTTCACACCTTCAGAGAACTAAATGTATTTTCCAGTGAAGATCTCTAAGAGACACAGCTAAGGAAGAGCACCCTCAGGGGTCAGAATCAGAATCTTTGGTCAATGCAATACTCAGTAAGAAGTAGAAGAGACAAAGCTGCTGGATCTTTTCCTGGGATGGCTGACATAGTAATGGGAAACAAATGAATTTTCATTGCAGAGTTCCTTTTATCTAGTTAATGACAAGTGTATCACAGTAAACCATAAGAAATCTTTCAATTCTTACTAGAAATAAATTATAATGCTTTACCTACTAAAGATGATTGAGTTTTTATGAACTTCTCAGAGTTGGAGAGAAGTGCCTCTATCAATCCACAGATCCCAAACCCACAAAGCTGTGAGGGTGGAGATGAGAAGCAGCAGAAGTCATCATGACAGAAGGACAGTGTTTTTACAGCACCAAAACCGAACAGTTTCTTGCAATCACACACACTCCAGCTGGGTTAAAAACCCCAAATCTTAATTTAAGCAACGGATCAGCGTTTGAGCCCATCTTCCCTTGGACTTGTCTCCCTCAAGAGGCAATGTCTCTACCTGCCACAGCAAATAAAGACTCAGCACTCGCACAACAATGTTCCCTAACAGAAACGTCTAACAGTGCCATAATACCTACTGTTATCTCCCTTTGCTAAGACCTAAGGTTACTGTCACTGCAAAAACACTTCAGAAAGGAGTTATAAAAATTATCTGGACTTACAGAGGAAACCAAAGCAGTTGTGTTCACCAGGTCATGCTGTTATTTTGCCTATAAAGCTTCCTCTGTTTATCATTCATTAACATGTGTGACATGAAAAGCACAGGAATGATTTTCAAATCCATTCAGAATTCAATATCTGCTTCCCACAGGCAGCTTTGAATACTGAACCCTCAGTTCCTTCCTGAACAGAGTAGTAGTGATGAATTTACTTTGTTAGATGCCACTCGAACAGGAAAAAAAAGAACAAAAATGAAACTAGTTAACATCAAAAGAGTGTTGAGGTAAAATGCTGACCCCAGTGAAAAAAACTTTATAGTGATTTCAGCACTACCCAGTTTCCACTCCAATGGCTTTAATCAGGGGAGTAGAAGCTGTCATCGTAGATGGGGATAAGAAATTCAGTATCAAGTATAGATCTGGCATCCCTGCAAAGAATAGTTTAAGGAACTGAAGAAAATAATTCAAAGTGGTAGCATAAATGTAACTAAAACCATCCTAAAGTTATCTTACTAAACAAGGGTATACATTAGAAAATGCACAAAATTCTCAAAAGTCTACAAAAAAAAATGGAATGTGTGGCTACTATATACATATTTTAATAAATTAATATATCATTCTTAGTAGAATAATTCCTCGTCATCTAGGAAGGAGTTTCACAACAGTCATGTGACTCATTTTTACTGCATCTGGGAAATTCCTGTAACGCAATCTCCATGCCAGCAGAGCACACAGGCTGGGCACAAAACTGTATATAAGCGTGATGGATCTCCCAGAGCCAGCATCAACAATCCTCCAGGACACGAGCTCACTGCTCCACAGAACCAGAGCTGAACAACCCACAGAAAAACTCCTGTCCAACCATGAACGGCAAACTTGTGGCTGTCCTGGCTCTTTTCCTGCTTTCAGCAGCTGTGTCTCAAGGTAAGTGAAGCCTCCCAAGGACCCCGTGGCTGTAGCATTGTCCAGGCATCTACTGAGATGCCTCTCCTTGCAGAGTAACTTTCTATTTGTCTCAGTAAATTAGTTTGGGAGCTTTTCAGCACCTCTCTTCAGTCAGAAAGAGAGCCTTTGGACTGAAAAGTTACTGACACCTCGTGGGAAAAATTTTAAGGATGCAACTTGCATTTGCTTTGTTCCTATGTTTCATTTGAAGTGCATGCAGCTAGAGACAGGATCTTCCGAAGTGTTCCAATATTTCTCTGCTTTCCCACACAGAGAACAGTTATCTCATATTAGTTGCTTGGTGACCATCCTGCCTCAAGCAAGTAATATGCAGTTGGGAAAACAGAGAGCAAACAATATGAAGAGAAGCATGGGCAAGCCTCCAAACAATGAACAAGTCTAAGGCTCTGTCTTCTGCAGAGTGGCCAAGTTTTTTGAACCAGATATTCAAATAATGCAATTAACTATACAGTGTAGTCAAGTACAAGGAACCACAAAATATGTGGGTTCATTTTTAAAAAATGTTTTAATTTAGTTTCCAACGTGCTTGGGCATCAGTTCCTCTGAAACAAATAAGCTACTGATACTCATGCCCTGAGGATTTAGGCTTGGACAAATGCAGTATTTTAATTGAGAACATTGTTAGACTAGAGCAGCCTTGCTTTATGTCTGATATAGTTATGATAAGGCCACCTGTTAAACCCCAATCTGCCCTTTTTGCTCACAGGTAGGGCCGTGGCAAGGATGGGAACCGAGCTCCGGTGCCAGTGCATAGCCACTCATGCCGGGTTCATCCCTCCGAGATCCATTCAGGATGTGAAGCTGACACAGAGCGGCCCCCACTGCCAGAACGTTGAAGTCATGTAAGTAGCTCTGCAAGAGGCTCCTTCCTCTTCATACACCCTGCTGCTGCCACTGCTGCAGGACTTTGGGGCTTCACAAGTGTGACAGTGAGCAGGCTGACCTGATTTAGTCAGATTTGGTTATTATTTTGGGAGAGACAGCTTTAAGTGATACACCACATTTTTCACCATCTCTATGACCCTGTATTCCTGAACCGATCATTGCTCATCCGTCATGGGACATATTAAATATTTCTAGTGGTAGAATATGAATTGCAAGGACTTGTCAGTTCTTAATACACGAGGTAATGACGTAGCTTGAATCCTGCATTTATTAGGCTCAATGAGGAAAATTAACTTCCCAGACACAGATTCAGGGAAACAACGAACCTAACCTGGTCTGAATAGCCCAGAGGAGGGATTAAAATGTTGAAATCCTTATACTGCTGAACCACTTTTTCACCACTGGAGGTTTCAATTGTGTAAGAAACTTTTCTAATGTAAACAAATCCAAACCAAGCATCTATATATATTGATAGAGATTTTTGGCAACATGCAACTGCTTTCAGAGCAGACACACAGACTCACACAATTATGGAGGGTTCTAGTCTCTTCACTTGTGGAACATATAAAACAAAATGGCCAAATCTAAGCTACAGTGGCCGAGATGAATTTAAACTATCTAATGTAAAAATGCAAGAATACATTTTGTGAGTAAAACAATCCATGTAGCAGTTTCCTGACTCTTTTTTACCCCCTGTTTTGCAGAGCTACTCTGAAGGATGGCAGAGAAGTGTGCTTGGATCCCAATGCTCTCTGGGTACAGCGGATCGTACAGGCAATTTTGGCCAAGTAAGTCCCATTCCCTCTCAATTTGGGCAGTTGAGAGGTAAAACTCCCAGAAGAAAACTAATTTGTAGGATTTCTTAGTGATATTTTCTATTCCTTCTTAATCACATTTAAACAACAGGGAAATTTCCTGCTTAATTACAGAATTAGTCCTAGTTTTTCTGACCCTGCTGCAGGGTCCTTGCTCAAGCTGATACATCAGTACTAAACCTCTGAGTACCAGCAACTTCATCTGCAGGGACAGAAACACTGATGAGTTCAGCTCCCTTTGAAAATGAGGCTTTAGAAAAATCATCTTCCCCTTACTAAATTCCTGTTTCTGAGTTCATGAGGTTCTTGCTGCAAGTCAGTGCAGAAGTTCAGGCTGCAGAGGCTTCCCAGCTGGGCACCAGACGCACACACTGGGATTTCAGGAATTGCTTTTGAAACATTTACTTTATTCTCGCTGTCCCTCAAGATAGCACATAGAATTGGAAAGAGACCCCTCATCCTTAACTGTTTGTGCAATGCTAAGCAGTGATAACTGTCTTGAACACCCTCTTAAATAATCTTCTTTCCTCACCTCTTAACAGGGCTCAACAAAATTCTGACTCACCGCTCTAAGAAACACCAGGACAGAAAAAATCTGGGAACTGTTCCTGCTCCTCCACCAAGAGGAGCATCGTTCAGGCAGTGCACCATCTTCCACCTCCTGCATGCGTGTTGTAATGTTAATTATGGACAGTTCTATTTATTTAACTATTTATTTAACTGCATGTATTTAAGGAAGTCTTTCACAATGGTCAGTTGTCTGTGGGACACACACTGTCCCTTGACACTGCAGGAAAAGTGGTTTGCTGAGGGAGATTGAGAACCCTTGCCAGCCACTTCAGCCAAACACAACCGGTGAAGTGCAATGCACTTGCCACACTGTTTATCTTTGCTATTGCACCAGCAAACTGATGAATCCTCCTGCTCCCCTGGAGTGCACTAGTATGTTGTGTCAACAACAGCTTCCTCAACCACAGTCAGCATGTGGCCAGACTGTGAACTGTATGTGTAACACTGTGTTTGGTATTTATATATTGTGATTTCCATGGTATTTATAAATGTATTTATTGAGTAGTTTCTATGCAAGAAAGAAAACTATTATAAGTTATTTAACTTCTACCAGATTTTTCATCCCTACTATTAATTTCTGAAGAAATACAATCTCACTGTTCTGTAATTGATTGTATGTCTAATTAGCTACTCCATCAGCTAACGCAAAAAATTGCATCTTACATACCCAGAAATTGATTGTGAATGTAATTACTCCTAACAATGTATTATTAAAAGTTTTATATGAGAAATCCATTTGTTATGTTTGACGTTTTAAATTTTCATTTGCTATATTTGGAAGCAGTCTGCTTTATCTTTGTCAGCTTGATTTCTGGAACTGAAATGAAACCTTTCAGTCCATGGTACCATAACTCCCCCTGTCATGGTAACCTGACATTCCTGAATACACTAACAAATCCTTAGGTAGGGTAAATGGCTCACTTTCCTCTTTTGGCTGTTCCCAGTCCATGGGGAGGGGTGGGCTGCAGGCCAAGGCCCCTTCCTTAACTACCTTGCAGATAAGAGAATTTTACCCTCGATACCTAAGCACTGCTAATGTACAGATTAGCCCCAGAGTTGTAAATCTTTACTACATCAAAGGCCACCATTTAACTATCCAAAGGGGAATTTGTGATCTTTACTTTGGGTACCCAAATAGCAAGCCTTTGCCCTGGTGTAACAACTGCTTCTTATTCTGATCCCTGGAATGCAGAGTGCTGAGCACATGATGCCTGCCTCTTTTAAAGATTGTCAGAAAGGGAAATGGGAACAGGAGAGAAAGGGTACAGGTTTAAAGGCTGTTACTTTACACTAGAGTATACCTGTTCATTTGAGGGATGCACACTTTTATTTCACTGTTACCTCTGATCTAGATAGTCTTACAATAGCAGAAGGATTTTTGCCAGGTAGTTTTGGGATAGTAAAATAAGAGAGAGCTGTTTCTGGCTTGCTTCTTCTTGAAGACCCTTCTCTGTAAGATTGATGCTGATCCTCTCCTTGACCCATGTTGTGTCCCTGCATGTTAATTTTATAACCCTGAATAAAAGCACTACAAGGCCAGGAGAGCAAAGTAAGGTTAACACCACTTAGTCTGTCTTCTGAAGTGGGTATGTTCTCTTATTGAAAATGAGATAAAAGCTGAGTTTCCCTCTTTCTGTTACCATTCTTTGGCTTAATGTAATTTTTCTCCAGGTACTAGCAAAGTAAATAAAAAATATAACTCCTTAGGAAGCAAAATTAACTATATTTTTAAGTCAACTGAAGTAAGAAACAACTAAAAAAAAATCAGCTGTCTGTAGAGCTGGAAAAGCTTTCACAGAGTTAGCTTGTAATCTTAATGTGTAAAAAATTGCAGCATAAAACAATCCAGATAAAATCCAGAGCACAGTCATCAGCACTGAAATCACCAGTCCTCACTTGCTGGGAAATATTCTAGGTAACCTGCTGCTGTTAGAGGGAGGACTCGGCTATTGCAAGAAAATAGTAAAAATAAAGTTCTCTGATAATTCGAAGAAATCTCTTCTTGTAATGTGGATCAGGATTTACTAAATGGGAAAGGTAGTACAGATAGAGAAGAAAGGTTAGGGGACAAGTAGAGCACTGGAAGATGATGTGTGCTGCCAGCAAGAACACAATTAGGAAAGCTGTGTTCAGACATGGTAAAACAGGTGTGGATATTGACTCAGTAATTGCTGGAGGGTTTGTTCTCCTTTTTGGGGACTGAAAGTAAGAGAAAATTCCATCATCCAAATTGCTTTTTGTCTTCATGGTCTATCTTACGTGATCTGAATGGAAAGTAGCAAATTACCTGTTTTCTGATCCAACTGACTATAAGAAAGCTAAACCACTAAGGTTCTTTACATAAACTTGTTCCTTTCTGCTCACCCCTTAAGAGTTTTCAATACAGCAAACCAGGATGAAGGCTCTCGTTAGGAACTGCATGACTCCTCTAGATACACCATGTTCTATAATCCCACCTACCTGGTCAGACTAGGGGGAAAGCTCAAGAAAAGGAGGGTGTAGCACTGGTTACTTCAGCGATTAGGCCACTGCAGAGTTCAGCCACTCCAGCTCTAAACAACGTGCCCTGTGGCCCTTCAGTTATCAGACCATGTAGAAGCTCCAGGGGAAAACGGCACCCTTTAGAACCCTGCAGACTATGCAGTAAGTGTCTTTGTGTGTGTGTACATCTGCACGTCTGTGTAACATACCAAGAAGCTGAGCAGGCAGTGATTAAGAGCCAGAACACTTGCAACACAATGGAAAGGCAGACCCTGGGATTTCACTGCAGTTAACTAAATGTCCTTGTTCATCTCCTCCTTTTCCCAATCTCATGAAAGCTTCTGCTCCCCTTGGCCACTTCATTTAGCATCTAAGTTGTATTTCTGCAAGACTCTCAGAAGGCCATTCCACTTTACAGCTGCCATGTGCATTCATCCCCTTCCTTTCATCTCACTACCCTCCTCACGATGAAAAGTAGCAGACATGTTCCTTCTGTCCTCAGCTATTCTCTTGGGCCCTTATTTAACCTTCCTTCCAAACCACTTTTACTTCCTTCTTTCACCAAAAAATTTGATTGGGGGGCAAGAGGAGAGTGGCAACTACCAAACAACCAAGCAATGTCCTTTCCTTATCCTCAAACTCCCCCTCCCATGCTTGGTTGCTGGAGTTCTGCTCTTGTATCGAAAGCATTTTCAATCACAAACTGTAATTTGTTCCCTTGAACTTCAGTGTTACTGTTCTTGTAATACTGAAAGTATATTTCTCTCAAATGTATAAATGCTGCAAACTATAGATGAAGTCATTGGAAGAAATACTGGAAAGTCCCTGAAAAAATACTTCTAACTCTTAGAAGAACAGAGAATGCAAACTTTAGTTTGTTGGCCTCAACCTCTCTGCTGGTGCTGAATATTGACTAATATAAACATCCTGGTTATGTATAAGGTGACAGATGCATGACCCATGGTGTATTTGCTTTTGATTATCGATTGCTTCCCATTCTAAAATGATTGCATTTCTTTTGTTCTTATCACATAATAATGTTCCTGGGAAAATCCCAGGAAAGTTACACATAACACTGTCTTGATATTGCAGACTTGCTCCAAGCGTTGCATTTATTCCTGATTATAACAGGATATTATGAGTGGCTCCACAGGAAATGGATCCTTTGGAAATTATACAAATATGCCATGGAAACTTTGGGGTCAGCAAATAGGCATTGTGTTTCTGTGTGCCAAAGTGAAACAAGAGTTTTGCCACCTGTAGAAATAAGCCTGAGATCACTGTTGTTGCAAACCATAATTAAAATTGATTTTTAATATTACCTGCAGCTAAATTATTTTTAATAATAACCATTGGTGCCAGTCAGTGCACAGATGATTTCACAATCCCTGTGGATTTCTAGGGAGGGAGATTCTCAGTGTGGAAGAATCTGGAAGATTACAGGTATAACTAAGCTTACTGATACTGTTTTCTCTGCCCTTTCATGATACAGGCAGCAGTGTGACATCTCTATAACCTTCTGCAGGCAGATTTTAACACAGCTATGCTGAATAACTTAGCACCATTAAACAAATACCATTTATTTTAGCAAGTACCAACCTTTGATAGGTCCAGCTATCTTATTCTATCAAAGTTCAAATTCATGAGGAACATGATCAATTTTGTTTTGAAAAATAGATTTGTACTCAGTTTGCCAGATCCCACCTGTGTGTATCTCCATGGACTCAGCCAAGGACTCTAGCAGAAGGATAAAGTTCATGTTGGCAACTCCAGTATTAGTGTGTTGATTTCTCCTACTCCTTACTGGAAGATAGGTGAACTGGGGAAAATCTAATCTTTTTATCTTTTACAGAAAACTTTTTCATACCTAGACACCTTATAAAAATCTGTGGAAGTAAAAGGTCATTAGGCAAGCAGCTTCTTTTGAGGGCATATTTGGACCCAGTTAACCGACTTACCTCTGGATGAGCCTTCATTTTTTGAGAAGGAGAGCTAAGCAGCTTTTCTGACTCAGCTAACACAAAATGCCAGAATTCCAAAACCAATTTTTAAGCACTGAACTAACATTCACATTGAACTCCTGAGAGCTTCTATTTTTCCTTGAAACTATTTTCCAGAATGATGAAAGCTTTATAGCTCATTAGAGCAAATAAGTCCACCCCCTTAGCCCGGTTCTTTTATTAAAGATATATATTGTATACTTGCACAGAAATAAGGGGTCTTCAAAAATACTGACGATTCTTCTTCTCCTCTTCTGTTTTCGAGACCACACTTTTTTCAAGTTTGCAAGCAGACATGAGAATCAGAATTGAACCCAAAATGTCAATAAAATGTCAGAAGCTTGAAACATTCATCGCTTCTATGTGAAGCCTGTGCTAAAGGATTTAGTGGAAGGTTTCATGAACAGTGAGACTGGATGTGATAGTGAGAGCCTGGATTACATGTGTTTCTTTTTACTTGAAGCAGAACTTCTTGAAGGAATAAGAATGTATGAGAATGACCCACTGTGTGTGGGCAAAACACAAGCACAGACAAAACAATTACACTGCAGTTAAAAGGGAAGGTTTTCTAACTGAAAGTCAGTAACTAATTAAGAGTTTGTCCATGCAGGTGTCAGATGTTCGTGTGAGAGGGGCTTTGTCGCCCAGCACAAACAGTGAAGAGCAAGTGACTTGTCAAAACATCTGATGCTCTGAAAGCTTTGTGTTTGACCTATCAATAACCAATAAAAGAATGCAGAGCCACCTGGCTGGTACATGGCTGAGCCAGACAGCACCATCAGCAGACCAGTCATCAAGCCAATAAAAATGTGTTTGCTGACTTACTGAATTCCCGCTGTCAAAATTCTATCAGCTCCTCATTTTCTGCTTTCTTCTGTTTGGAACTTCATCTCTGACAGCAATGACCATCATACTGCAAAAGAGAAGCAATTTACGTAGGCATTGCTTACCTTGAACACAAGTTTAATAAAAAGAGCCAAAAAAACCAGGTTTTGTTGTAGCTGGTTCATACTGAACACTGCAGCTTCATCCACTCCTCCTAACACCAAAAACACCCCAAGTGGTTTTTGCATAGCCAAATCTTTCCCCAAAGTCAGCAGGAGACTCAATTGACTAAGGAACATGGGAAAGAGCTGTCAATCCATCTGCACACATCTGACCTGTTGGTAGGCCAAACCCTACAGTCATTTCCCCGTTAAAAAATTCTCACAATATTATTCCTGCTTGGAGGAAAGGATGAAGGAGAGCATGTAATGTCTTCTGATATTAAAATGACTATTAAAAGAAAGAATAAGAAGAGAATGCATGAGAAGTACCCTGAAGAATTTGTTCCAAATGGTGGGTACCAGGAACACAAGCCAGGGCCACCCAGATAGAAAGTGTGCTTGATGGAACAGCACTCCCCTTAAAAATGAGGATTTGAACAAAACAAAAAACTTCATTAGAATACATATGATTTTGCAAATTCAAGTATATATTCAGATGCTAATGGCAAACTTTACCTAGATTAAACAACTCTTAGCTCACAGCAGAACAGTATTTGGAGAAAAGTGAAACACATTTTTCAGTCAATGTCCTGATCATATTTATTTTATGGGAATTTTCTAATGTTTAGCAGAAAACCAAAGGTAAAAAAGCAGAATTAAAATGGAATCAAATGTTCCTCTTTTCAGGAGCTTATTTTCTAGAGAAAGCCTCTAGTATGTTTAGTCTCCTACCACCTCAACGTACTCCTGATGGGCATTCACTAGCAATTTTAGGAAAGAAAAAATGCTGTGCTCATGTTAGCTGCCATAACTTTTAAAACAGTGTCTTGACATATTCCTGTACCTTGTGTGTTTTGAGGCAACCTGGAGTCCCACAAGCTGAAAATTTAAAAAAGGAGGGAAATCAACAGAGAAACACAAGATAATGGGGGCTGTAACCATCCACTCTGTCCTCACTGGTGATCACATTCATCAAAAATGTTATTGATGAGTTTCCTCCAAATACCTCCCTCCCGAAACACATCCTGAAACAGGCTGAAAGGATATGTGGCCCTCTCACTGTTTTGTGTATTCACTGTGAATTCAGCCAACTTACCGCTGTCATTTTGCCTTCCTTTCAACAAAGAGCAGGCATTTTTTGTTGCCAGGAACAATGGAGTTTATTTTACCACAGACTCCAAAGGTTGACCCCGCACGTGGCACTCAAAGAGCTGTAAGACAGAATTCCCTGGGATGGCAGCTTTAGTATCTTCTAGGGTGTAAGCCAAGTATGACTTCGCTTTTCCTTCCTTGCAACACAAGCAACGAAAGTAACGGACAGGATTAAAGTGGGGATGTCATGAGAGAAAGATGCAAAGATTTTGTGATGATTCCAATGAGTGTTCCCATTTTCTTGTGGTTCACCCATCTCATGTCACTGTTTTCTCAACTGATTTCAGCACTTTAACCAAAAGACCACAACTATCCAAAGCACGCCCTCAAAAATTACTCAGCTCCACTGAATCTGAAAACTTAGTTGGATTAAAATTGTCTTAATCCAGGTTTAGGGGGAAGTTGATTTGGGGGCTTAGATTGGGTTTTTTATTCCCCTTATAGCCAGGAAATACTACAAAACATAGGATTGGTAGAGGTAAAAAAGGTAATGTAATGATAAAACTAAGAGAGGGTAGCAGCAGGACACACCCCCTGACTGCAGACACTAGTAGGTAGCAGTGACACCACATTTTACAAATCACAACCTAATTCATTCCTAACCAAATCCCTGCAGGAAAAAGCCCTGCCCCTTCAGAGATTGCCCATGTTAAACGGTTCCCAGGCCAGGAAAAAAGTTCACCTCAGCCTTGTCTCGGGGACACATCCTCCAAAGCCATTCTCGTGCAGTTAGGAGAAGCCCTCACTTGCTGAAAGGAGACATCTCCTCTTTAATTGGCATTTGGCTTTCCTGGGCCTGCTGCCAGGGAATGCACGCTCCTGCTCCAGCTGCCAAGCCAAATAAATACCTGCTGTGGAAAGGCACACAGCCAAAGCCTGCAACAAAGCAGCCAAATCACTTCCTGCACCTATTGAATTAACATCTGGGTAAAGGGAAGGCAAATAATGCTCTGTCAGCACCTCCTCAGGACCTGCCTGAGCTGGGACAGCCTCCCCTGCTCCAGGAATCCCCAGACCCACTCTAAGGACACCGAGGGATCTCACAGGGTCACAGAACCGGGGAGGATCTTCACGCAGCAGCTCCTGCTAAAGAACACAGCCAAGGGGGGGGACTTGAACGGTAACTTCAGGGAGGCAGATACAAACACTGTGGTGAGTTCTGGCACAGCTCTACTGACACCACTGCTCACAAGAACTAAGTTCAACTTCACTCAGGATGATCCTCAAGGTCCCCTTCCAACCCACACCATCCTATGCTTCCATCTGTACAATGTGGGGCAAACTTATCTATAATGAGATATGGCAGCAGGCAGGGGAGAATTCAGCTTTCTAAATTCTCTAGGACGTGATGCTCTCTGTTCCCTGTCTTTTCCTTCCTTGCTGAAGGAATTGAGCCAAAGTCAGTGGAGGGAGACACAGGAAAGGTAGAATCCAAGAGAGCTCCTCTGCAGCTCAGGACAATGGCCTTGCCTCTTGAAATAGTCCCAGGGGGACCCATTTCCCTTGTTCCAGGCCTGTCTGCACAAGTACTGACTCACAGGACCAGGCTCTCTACCCCCTGCTGCATCACAGCCTGTCCACCACCTCTGACTGCTGCTCCTCTGGACTCCTGCCTCTGGCAGGAGCTGGCTGCAGTTTCACACACTGCTGCTCCATGTCTAAAAAGAGCCTCACGCTCCAGACCCCAGGAGACTGCTTCTGGCATTTCCTCAGCAGTAACTCCTGTGGAATGAGCCTGACAGTTCCCATCTTGTGAACAGTCATCCAAGCACAAAGCCCAGCACTGCCACGTAAACTCGCCTTACTCATGTGTCCAAGAACAACACATAACCTGACTGTGCATGACAAGGCCTTACTCAACAGATCTGCTCTCCAGAGCATCCAGTCAGAGATCCATCTACCTGCAGCAGATTATCTGGCCATCATCCAAACTGTTTATTGCCTCCATTTGTTACAGCTGGGAGAATCCTCCTTCCCGCAAAGAACATGGCACTTCCTTGGGGCAACCACACAGGGAACTCTCAGGGGAAGGCTCGTGGGGCTGTGGCCTGCAGGGAATGGGGATTCCATCCCCACCATCTCCAGGGATCCAAGGGAAGCTGTCCAGTTTTTCTGCTTAGGGACTGACCCTAAGCTGATCTTGTAACTTCTTTTTAGGACCAAGCTAAAAGCCAACAGCTTCCAAGGATGTCATTACCAAACTGCAGCTGGAAAGGGGTACAAATTAGTCATTAGACATTTGCGAATGACATGGGGCAATCGCCACTTGCCTGTGACATACGATCTTCCTGCAGGGCTGATCTCACAGGGACTAAGCCAGCAGCTGTATCAACCAGCTGAGCTGCACACAATAAAGCTCAGGAATGGGAGTCTGTGTCCCAACAGCTCTCTCTACGTAAGCTCTCGCTAGGACTGCTTCACATGCTGCATCTTACCTGGTTTGGGTCCTGCCTAGTTTTGTTTTCAGACAGTAAATCAAATCTAAGATATTCACAGAGATGGGGCAAGACACATGGCATGTTTTTGTCAAAGGATGCAAGGAAACAGATGCTCTAAGAAGACAAGAGCTCAAGTCCCTGCTTTTGATGAGTTTGTAGATCAGCTGTTCAATGCCTAATCCCCTCCCCTCATATTTATTGCTCCCATCACAGAGATGGTTGTGCAAATGTTTGCAGACACGTTTGAACGGGTCTGGACATTGATGGTGGGTTATCCTTCTGTTAGGAATAACAAGAGTGCTGTCTGGCACCTAACATTTTGGTGCCTGTTCAGCATTACAAGGGGATAAAACCTGCTTGCAGCAGGAATGTTTTCCTTTACCTTTTTTCCCCACTCCTGCTGACCAGCCTCTACTGCAGAGTGCCTTGGATCTTTCTGCACAAAGACCATGCAATGAAATCACAAAGCCTGTTCCTGAAGTCTCACTATATTCAATACTTATGAAAGTTTAATGATTTCCATGAAACTGTGGGGTTTTGTGCTATGATGGTTTTGGTTTCTGTGTTTGGTTGGGATTGGTTGGTTGGTTTGAACTGAGTTTACATTTGATTCTTTGGTATCTGTGCACAAGACCTAAAGGAACAGTAAATGTTTTGAAGAGACTTAAGATATTTTATGCCTACTTGTATGACATACTGTCATAACTCAAGTAATTTTCATTACTCTGCCTTGGGAAAAACATATGTAAAAAGGTGGATTTGTCCTGACAATGTAATGAAATATACTTCAATTAAAGGATTTCCCTGTGTAAAAATACACTGGGTTTTTTTTTAGAAAGTCATGCTAAGATAAAGCTGTGTACCTGCACCAGTGTGGCTGGTGGGATGCAGGGAAGGAGTAATCTCCGATGTGGAGAGAGATTGACCCGAGATGGATGTATTGAAGCCCAGCACGCCCCTGCAATCGGCAGGAATTTGTGTTCTGGTTTAACCTCCAGTGGGGGCTGTGTTTGAAGTTCAACAGTTTTGCTGGGAAGGAGCAACAATGTTTGCTGTGGTAGGAAACTGTAACAGTCTACAACAGTAAACTTGTTTCGAGACAGAAACTGTTCAGGTCCCAGCTGTAGCGAGGACCTCCGACACTTCTAAAAGCCAAGAATCCCCGTGCCTGGGCTCTTCCACTGCCATTGGTAACTTCCATCCCTTGGGACACAGTACTTGTTTAGTGGCAGAGAAAGCAATTGCTCTTTGCACAGGAAATCCAACAGAACCTCACCTGAAGGCACAACCAAATCCTGGCCTTGTTGACAGGGCTGAGGCACACACTGTTCTCCTGTGACATCTGAGGAAAGCTGGCTCATCCTTGGAACATGGCACAGCCAAACCAGGGTACATAGAAAACTGTCTCCTTCACCACCATTAGGGAATTCTGTACAGAAGGGCCTTTGTCCCCAACCTTGGCATGTGCCAAAACACACCCGTGGTTAGAGAGCAAGAAACACGTTATTCCCTTTCTCTCCCACCATTCCCTACCTGCCATTTCCAGGTGACCTGATCTTACTGCTCCCTCTCCATAGCCCTGAGAAAGCACTGTCTGCACTGGACACCACTCTACAGATTTCAGTGTGTCTGCACACCTAACAGCTTTCCTCCTGGGAATGGTGTCCATCCAAAATGAACACACTGCCCTCTTGGAACAGGTCTGTCTCAGGAATAGCATGGATTCCAGGAAGCCTTACATCCAGCTGTGCTTGAGCAGAGCAGTAGATATTTGCAAAATCCACTGTCCCCAGGGCAGATTTTTCACTTTCCCTGCCTGGGGCACACCAAAGACTGGGACTAAAAGATTGACAAGAACCAGTTTCCCTCAAAAGATGAAACATCATTTCCCTGCTGGAATAGGGGCCTATTTTATATGTTATCTTTGAAAGCTGTGGGTCCCTGAAAACTTCTACGGTTCTTTCCTCCTGCTCTGTGTCATATTTTTTATTCTGATCCAAGTCAATCTACTAAAACAACAAGGGAAATATCTTCTTGTGCAACTCTGGATTTTTGACTCCCACCCAGTTTTCAGCTTGGAAGGACATACATTGCCCAACAAAAAATGCTACTAAAACAGGACACATCATAAGCCTCTCAGTTTTTTAAGTCCTCAGGGGACTTAGGAATTGTTACCATCAGCTCTTTCAAATTCTCAAGATATGAAGCACCAAGAAAGTTCAGCTTGACTGTGCACTAAGAGCACCAGACAAACGAATGCAGACAGTAGAATGTACTCAGTCACAGTAAGCCTGCTGTTGCAACCTAAAACCACTTGTAATCCTTAGAACTATTTCTTTTCTGGAACCAGGAGGGTTTGTTTTCCACGTAAAGCTCCGGCTTGGAGTAAATGGCATATTTTGGGCTATATTGTAATGAACTTGATGAACTGAGAAATATCTATATTTATATTTAAGCATTTATAAAATATTTACAGGAATGGCTGGGAAATTGCTTTGTTCTCCAGAGCTGCAGATCATGGAAGTAGAAAGCTTTCATGCACAAATTACAAATTACCCTCTGCAAGGGTACTCAAAGATGGTGACTGTCACCATTTGAATAACATGTCAGTTGTCTGCAAGGACCTCTGTGGGAAGGCAGGAAAAGTTCTGGAAAAGTATATTCCACTTAGCATTACTAATAGAGGAACACATGCTTGTGCAAAACCCAGCCAAGCGCCTTGCTCCGTGGATCTGAGCTCACTATCCTGTTCCACACAGAGACAGTGCACTCAAACTCACCTGGTAACAATTGTTAGAGGGCTTGGGGTCTTTTGGCCACTACTGTGTGATTGAAAGAGCTGAACACGTTGCCAGTGAAGTTGCTGGACTTCAAGGGGTGTCCACAGTCAGGATAAATGAAAACAAAGTCCCTATGCCAAGTGCAGAAACGGCTTTGCACAAAAAAGAAACAGCAGACAGGTGTTCCATGGGAAACAGTTGGCATCATAAATAAAGCTGCCCTGCTGTCTGCAGAGATTATCTGAGGGATAATCTTGTCCTTGCATGTCAGCAGAAACCTGACTTTTCACCTCAGCCCAGAAGTTCTCTTGGACTCTCACCTGCTCACAGCTTCACTTCTGACACCCACACCCTGAATCTGAAATCTCACTAAAGCTGCTGGCCCTGCTACCTGTGTTTGATACTTGCCTTCAATGGACTGCTGATCTCTACAAGATCTATTTTTGGGATGTCTTACCTATGTTCTTCTATTACCTCTGTCATATTTGTGAACTTCCAATGAAGTGCTGAGTTTGCAGGACCATAGAATTGTTATTGGATCTCAAAGATCACCAAGTCCAGCTGTCAGTCTCCTGCTACTTTGTAAAACAACACTCTTTCTGTAATATTCAGACAACAAATCTAACACACCCTGGAGCAATTATTTTTATTTCAGTAAACTTGCCAGTCTTCTCTTCCAGGCTCTCCACGCACCCAAATCCCTTAGACCCTGGGTACCAATTTACCAACCCTCATCACCACAAAAAGTGTCCCCCAAAAAGGACAGTGCTCAGAGCAACCTTACACAAATCTTCCTCTGTCATGGCCCAACCCCAGCCCACCACGGTGTTTGTAGTTTTTCCCAGGTGATGTTCAGCCCTCCACACCTACTCACCTCTGCCAGAAATGCCGGCTTTCCACGGTTCACTCGGAACCAAACGCCCCTTCAGGCCCCAGAATGAAATCCGGGGCAGGAGCCATCTGTCCTTGCCTGACAGGAAAACACATAACAAGTCAGCCAGGGAAAGGCACAGGATTTCAACTCTCTGCTGGACAGAAGCTTTCTGCTGTAAAAAAACCCCAAACCAGACATGAAGAGCTGAGAACTGTGCAGCAGTGACCCATTACTGCTGCTATGTCTCTAATTCCCCACACAGAAGGATGGTGACACTGGAAGATACATAGGGGAATACCAACTAGTATGGGATTGCTGGGAACTTCAGTGTGGATTTGCTTTGTTTTAAACTCACAAAGACATCTCCTGTTGACTTCAGCAGCAGTGCTAATTGTATCAGCATACCCCAGTAAAAGCAACAGAAGATGCTGGGTTTGTTTTGCTGCTTTCTTATCAGAAAAATAATTTTAATTTGGGGGGGGTGTTTGTTGTTGTTTGTTTTTTTTCTTTTTGTAATAGAATAAGCTTTAACATAAAGTCCACACAAAGGAAGATCCCTTTAGCAGACAGAATTTGTCATGTCTGCTTACACTACATATTAGAAGTCTTGGCAACCTTTTAATACCTTAGGATTCTTTTAGAATAATTTAAAAGACATTAAATGCAATTAAGATATGGCAATCGAGCTTAATTTCAGCCTTCCTGAGGCTGAAATTCATGTTCTCTGCTGTTGCACTCATAGCAAGGAGCTCGAGCACAACCAGACACCTCACTTTCACTCGTGCAGAGTTCTGTGCTGAGTCACAGCCTTCAAACGGAGTCCCAGCTCAGCAAATCTTCCTGACTACCACAAACTCAACTGCTCTCAACTGCACTGGGAAATAACATAGTTTGAGCAGAATCTGCTTTAACTTACTGCACATTTTACATTCCTTGCCATTCAAACAGACTACCTGGGCTTTTGACTAACAAGGAAAAACAACGAGAAAGTCAAAATATTACATACTTACACAAATGTATTACAGAATTTGGAGACTCTTACTAGTTAGGAAGAGGTGTTACTACTTCAGTAGAAATAGCCCTGACTGTCTACAGATTATTTGGCAGTAACAGAAACTGATGTCTCAATCAAAAGCAAAACAAAGTAGTTTCCTTGTTTCTCCATGAAAACATGCCTTGAAAGGGTCCAATAATATTTGTGAAAGGCATTACAAATGTTTATCACTGTCTTTGTTGATTCTTCTTACACCTCCATTCTAAAAGACCAGAACCTTTGCTCCACATTGGATCCCACACCAAATGCTACAATGTTCCTTTTTGCACACAAAAAGATACTTTCTACTGTTTCCACTGGAAGGTTCTTGAAAGTGCAACAGCAAGACAAGGTGCAGAGGAAAGGAAAACCTTAATTCATTTTAATCGTGCTAAAGAAAGCTGAAGAAAACAAAAAATGTTCCATATTTAGGACAGAAATGCACTGCAGAAATACAATGCACTGATAGTGAACGACACAATCTACCCGACCTGCATCAGTGCTTTCCAGTGCTCCCTTGAGAAAACAGTTCAGAACCAGCCCATGCCAGACTAGAAATGCTAGGTACTAATCAAATATCTTACCAGTAGTTACTAATCAAAAAATGCATCCATCCAGAAACTTTAGCACTCTCAGAACACTGATTTACTGCTTGACACTCATATAAAGAAATGCCAATATAACCAAGATTCAAAATTCTCATTAACACAGACTTGGTGAGTACTTATTTCTTCAGTCCATGCCTCAAAACTGTGTATGGGAGCCAAGATTTTCCCAAGCATACAATGGTTGCCTGAGGACTGCTAAGGTAGTTGCATGGCAGTCACAGGAAAAGCATTTGTAAAAGACTGCCTGTGCTCTGATGTCTTTATCTCCCTTCAAGATCATAAAGATGAATTTCAACCTTGAATCTCGGTCTCTTTCATTTCCTAGAGAACAACAGAGTGTGTGTTTTCTACTCCAGTTGACAACTACAGTGAACAGAAGAAACACCATCAGATGATTACTTGATCTTACTTACTGGAAAGTTACTCTGAGTTGGAGCTTTTCCCTCTGCAAACACCCTTGGATCCTTCTTTGAGATCAAGAGCTTCACACGTAGACACACACAGACTGTAACCCCTGCCTTGAACTGGATAAATTATTCAACGTGACTACTCTTTGTAACAGTCAGAGTTTAGCAAGGACTCCAGGTGAGTTAGAACCAAGAGGTCATTATAATGTACAAAGAAAAATCTGAAAAATAAAATCACAGGGTCTTATGGAACAAAAAAAATTCAACCAACCAACCAACCAAATAACACACACACTCTGCTAAGAACAATTTGTCCAACTGGTTATCAGGAAAACAAAGTATTAGAATCACACTTAGCACAAAAAAAGAAACCACAAACACCTTGCTTCATTCCATTTTACACCCAAACCCCAGTTTCTGTACTGTTTCACTTACAAAAAAAATAATGTTAGCAACAGGTCGGTTTCATTCTTTTCCTGTGTGGCCTGTTCTGCACGTGCTCATTCTCAGAGATGTCTCTCTTTCTCTTCTTCATTATTTATGTTTCAGCCCAGTGGATCAGGCACCTTTTGCTACAGCCTCCAGACACAAAGTTTTCCACCCCTGGGCTCTCAGCACTCCATCTTTTGCAGCAGTTCTCACTGCTGGAATGAACGTTTGTGACATTACCTGTTCACTCTGATCCGCTCTTAGTGGTAGAGATGTTTGAGCAAAGGAAAACCACCACATTCCAACACATCCTTACTTGGGCTCCAAGAGCTGCCTCCTTTCCTGTGCTGCACTTCCACCTGGTGGCAAATTTATTGCAGCACGTGGCCAGGTTCAGGCAGCTCTCCTGGCAGACCAAGTGCAAACCCCCCTCACCAGGAGCGCTGCTCTTGATTGCAAAGACAAGCAAAGCACTTCTTCCTCGACGACTCTCAGCACCTGCCCCACTTTTGCTCTTTCCCAGATGGAAAATGGTTTTAGTTTAGTTTAGGGCTTTTTTTACAACTTTCATCACTGTAAAATTACCACTTGGCCAGCTACTCCCAAGTGATATTTCAGTGAGATTATACTACAAATTAGGAGAAGGCAAATTAAAAAAACAAGATTTCAGTCAAGGCTTTTAGGACTTCTGCACAAACCTCACTTGGACCAGGGAGACAGCACAGAAAACAGGAATAAAGACTGAAGGCAAAACCTCCAATCGCTGTGAGAAAAGCTGTGGCATCATCTCCTGCATAGCATAACTCAGCATCATCTAAGGGATGAAAGTATGGAGCTAAGGCAAAACACTGCAACAGGTTGAAAAATAAAGATAACTCAACTGGATAAATTAGGAGTGGAGGGAAATGCCTTGAAACACCACCCTGACTTATCCAAAAAAAGGCGAGTTTGACAAAGGAAACAATTCTCACAATTTGGTTTTTTGTTTAAAATGAACAGCAGGTGGAACAAAACAATTACCATCTCACCCAATCCTTCACTGTGCAGGTCCTCTCTCAACAGCTTCTCATGTCCCCAGGCAGCCCGAAAACCTCACACTCTTTCCTCTCACACGGACTGTAGAGGAGAAATGGGACAAAAGGTGTCACCCACCTGGCAGAGGAAGCTGAACTAACAAACCACTGACTCTCGAATCCTTGTTGAGTTGCACTGTCAGATCTAAGAGCTCTTCCTCAGAAATGTCTTTAGGCCTCACAATGATCTCACTAGAAATGCCTGGTAAAAACAAAAAACAGGAGACACGTTAGCATCGGGAAACAAATCTATGGGCAGCTTGGTCATTCAGTCTAAAAACCTGTCTGAGGCTGAAAAACTCTTTCCTAACAACATTTCACTACAGAAGTAAACTTAGGGCTCCCACTCAAGTGACATTAAAACTACTTTCTTCCTATGTCCATGCAATTTCTTTTCTTTAGCTTCAGCAGAGGAGATGAGGAAGAAAATGGTGCAAGATTGAATTAAGACAAAACAGGGGATTCCTCCTGCTTTATTGTTTTATTTTTAAGTAACAGTATCTTGTGCTTACCAAAGGATCACTTATAGGACATACCCACAGCTGCAGCTGCTTTTATCTTGTTCCTGACATAGATATGACTGGCTGGATTGTCTCCTACCAATACGACAGTGAGATGAGGTCTCTTGTTGCCAACGGATATCCACGATTCTACATCCCTTTGAACTTCTTGCAACACTTGGTTGGCAAGCTTTGTCCCTGAGATAACTGTTGCTTCATCACTACAAAGACAAAAAGATACACAATATTTAGGTCTGAAATTTCACCAGGAAGACACTTTTAAGTGTGTGATCTCCCATGCTAACCACTGCAAAACGTTTGGATTCATTTGCTAGTATTTCATTTGAAAAACACACTACAAATCCACAGGAAAAGAAGTCTTTCCCCACTCGAATTTGAAGAGCATTAATATGCCATCATTGCACATGGAAAAGGAGCTCACCAGCCACAACAGTGTGCAAAAAGGAAGGTTTTTGGTTCATCAGCTCTTAACAAAACACCATCAAAGGATAACTTGATCTTACTAACTACAAATTCAGTCTCCGTAGGCTTCCCTCTCTGAGACGGAGAATTTAACATGTAGACACATCAACACTGTAACCCCTGCCTTGAACTGAAAATATTAATTAAAAAAGACTACTGTTTGTAACTGACAGTGTAGCAAAGAGTCCAGAGGAGTTATACTGAAAAGGTGTCATGATAACTAAAAAAAAAAAAATAAATCCCAGTGCCTGGTTAAAAAACCACCAAAACTGAACAAACAAAAACAAGCCAAACATACAAGCAAAAAACCAAAAAGCACACACACTGCTAAGAACAATTTGTCCAACTGGTTATCAGGAAAACAAAGTATTAGAATCACACTTAGCACAAAAAAAAAAAAAAGCACAAACACCTTCCTGCTTTCCATTTTACACCCAAACACCGGTTTCTGTTTCACTTACAGAAAAAATAATGAAGGCAACAGGTCGGTTTCATTCTTTCCCTGTGGGGCCTGCTCTGCATGTGCTCATTCTCAGAGATGTCTCTCTCTTCTTCATTAGTTATGTTTCAGCTCTACATGTCCTGAGCACAAGACACTCCTTTCCAGGTACTCATTATCCCAGACAAATAATTAATGCCCTCCCGTGCAGCAATGCCTTCCCCATTTCACTAGACAAGGATTTTACAACACTTTGGTGCCAAAAGTCTGCTCAATCCATAGGAATGACTCTCCTGTTCCTATGCCACTTGCACTATAAATGCATTGTCTAATGACAACTTCTCCCAGCCTCTCAGCAAACCATGTTCAGTGCACACTCTTCCTCAAAACCTGGCCTCAGCCTCATTAAGCTCTCAAGGGCTCTCCTCACTGAAACCTCACCCTTCTCACCCCATCACCTTCAGTCTTCTCAATCACCCAAGGATCAAAGGCAAAGCAAGTGAACACATCAACAGGGTTAAAAAGGCACAAATCTAGAAGAAAAAAACACCCTGAAACACACAAAACTAGGAGAAAACACATGCAATGCATCCTGCCCAGGAGATGCTGGGATAAGGCTCTTCAACACCTGCATCTCTCCAAGGACAACAGGGAGTTGTACAAACCTCAGAAAAAGGCAATTTTAGAAGGCAAAGACTTGTCTGGAAACAAAAATGTTTCAAGACAAAACTGCTCTGAGAATTAACACTCTGGGGCAGCCTAGACAGAAAAGAGGAAAATTATTTCACATTACTTCACATAGGCAGAAAAAACAAGGACAATTATACCTTAGCAAAAAGTTCCCTCCTTAGTAATGTCCCAAACTGCTTCCAGGATTGCACTTCCAGCTTTATTTCTGCACAACACCAAAGGAAAGGTTGACCGGCACAGGTTGAGCTCTGTACAGGTGGGACGGCCACTGCTCCGCCCTGCCCTCCGTGAGCCTCAGTCAGCCTCTGGTCCAGTCCAGAATGGCGGGGACCGACCCAGGGGCTGCCCCAAAATGGCGGGGACTGACCCAGGGCCTCAAGAGCCCCAAAATGGCGGGGACTGACTCCTTGGGCCCCACAGGGAACATGGAAGCACAGCTGTGCCTGGGGGAGGCCCCAGCTGAGGGGAGCAGATAAAAGGACGGTGACACGCTGCTCTCAAGGGGCTGCTCTGCTCCATTTCCATCTCAGAAGGATTATTTTTTGCATCTTTTACATAACCACATGTCACCCATTCCGGGCCAGATCCCAACATAACCCTGCAGCTGTGAGGCCATATATCCCAGTGTCCCACTCAGAGAGCACTATGGGATGGTTCAAAAAGCCAAATAAAGGCACAGGAGAGTTAATAAGGAAATTCAGACATTGCCAGTAACAACAGTTGAGGGACATAAACACCATGTTTGCATTTAGTCGGTATTTTGTGGTTTTGCATTAAAAGGAGATAACTAATTAAAAGATATCATGCTTATTATAAAACTTAGAACATTGTAATCTCTTGTTAAAAGATTTTCAATTAAAAAAACCGTAAAGTTAACCCACACTGTTATTATTTACAATTTAATTCTCCATTTTCTGATGAGAGGGAGTTTCCTTCTGATTCCTAATGAGAAAGGGCTGTGGAAATTGAGATATTAAGTACACTGATGAAAGAGTCTCCTAGAAGTGAACTCTCCTCAGAGAGACTGAAAGCAACCATAACCTTGTTTTTATGCCAACCCGGGGAATAAAAAAAACCAAAGATAGAATCGTGGAACAACTTATGAAATGGTTTTTGCAAAAGAGAACTTGCTAACCTTAGGCAAGTCAGATGTTCATGCAAAACAAACCTGGCAGTTTTTCCTTGTGCCTGGGATGGGGCAGAACCCTGCTCTGACAGACACCTCCTGTTCATATGTCCATGCAATTTCTTTTCTTTAGCTTCAGCAGAGAAAATGAGAAAGAAAACAGTACAAAATGAAACTGAGACAAAAAGGAAATCCCTCCTGCTTTTCTTTTTTTTTTTTTTAAATAACAATATTATGTGCTTACTGAAGTATCACTTATACGACCCACCCTTCCAACATACTTAGCCAGCCACACTGAACATCTGTGACCTTCAGTATTTGGGAATAGAATATGAGAACATTGAGAACATTCTTATGGAGCATCACAACAGGATTTTACATGTCCCATACATACTACATGAAAACCTCTGGAAAATGACTATTGCAGGAACACCTTCCTTTTGCAGAACTGGACAAAACAGTTACTACCAGTGTTGGAAAGGATATAGCTTTTCTAATTTTCAATAGTTGCAATTAAACCTTTTAATTACTTGTTTTAATTAATCATAAGCTGTATTAAGCCTCAAATTACTCTAAGGCAGCTACTTTTTCAAGAACATAGATTCTTATAAGTTTCTAAGTTCTACTTAGTAAAAGTAAGAACTTTTGCTAAACTGACCTTGATATGCTTCAATGAGCAAAGCCTGGGAAAAATATATTGTTGAACTTGGACATCTGGAAAGGACATTTTTTTAAAAAAATACAAATAATAATAAGAAAAAAGCCTTAGTATTTGAGCTCGAACAAACCCACCAGAGAGCAAAAGACACTAAAAAGACTACAGATATGGACTAATTGTTATAGAAAAGGAGAAATTAGTAGCCAAAAGAAGGTAGAATAGGAACTCAGAAAAGAGAACTATGTCATTTAGAACCAATGATCATTAATCTGTTTTCTAAAATGTCAAAGCAGGTGAAAAAAATTATTATTGTTGCCTGCGTGGGGACTGGGATTCTTTCAGTCTTTCACACACACCTTGGGCCAGAAATAAAGTAATGCCTTCCTTTCTAACACTACCAAGATGGTAGGAGAGAGTTTTATTTATTCCAACACTTTCAAAGTATTTGGCAACAGAGGCAGAGAACAGAAGCAGGCACCGGTCCAGAAATACAGCTCCTTGTGGCAAAAGTGGCAGAATATCCAGGAGGTCAGAGGCTTATTTCAGTAACTGTTTAGCTGCCTCACCTTTTCACGTGTGAAAACACAGAGCAAAGACAACGCTTTTAGTGCAGTGCCTTGAAATCCGCTAGGGCGACCCCGAGGGGAGCCGAGCCCGCTGCCCCCTCAGGCGTTTCGCGCCCTCTTCGCCCACCGAGCGCGGCCGGCGCTGCCCGCCACAGCGTGAGGGGATCGAGGAGCAGGAGCAGGAGCAGGAGGAGCAGGAGGAAGAAAAGGAAAGAGTGCGGAGGAAAACTCCCCGATCACCGCCGCGTATCTGTCGGCGCTGCGAGGGGAACTGCTGGCGCTGCGAGTGAGGGATCGCCACCGCCTCAGCGGCGCCCAGCCCCGGCGCAGCAGCGCGGAAGATGGAGTGAAGGAGAAGGTTGCGGTGGCCGCCAGCCCGTCGGTCAGTCCTCAGAGAGAGAAGCGTCGCCGTAACCAAGCGGAAAGAAGGCAGTGAGCCGGGGCAGGGGCATCGGGACCGGAGTCGCGCGGAATGGGCGGAGCCGAAGGACGGGCGGAGCTGAGGGACCGCCGGAAGCTGAGGGGACCGCCGGAGCCGCCGATCGCCGGGAGAAGGACGTTGCACCTGAGGGATAGAGCTGGAGCCTCGCAAATGGTCGGACTTCGTTTGCAGTCTTTGGTTCCCGCGAACTTCTGTTCCCGTCCCTCAGCTCCGCCCGCCCCCCGTCGGTCCCACTATTTGCCCCGGCTCCTCCCTCGTCGCTTGGTTACGGCGTCGCTTCCGTCCCTGGGGACCGACCGACATGGCGGCGGCCACCACAGCCTTCTCCTTTTCCTTCGCCTCCTCCTCCTCCTCGGCGTTGCTGCGCCCGGGCTTGGCGCCGCTGAGGCGTTGGCGAGCCCCACCGGCCCGGCGCCGCGGGCCGCCTGCAGCGCCAGCAGCTCCCCCTGCAGTGCCGAACAGGTACGCGGCGCCCATCGGGGCGTTTTCTTCTCGTTCCTTCCTCCTCCTCCTCGGTCCCCTCACGCCGCGGCGGGCAGCGCGCGCCGCGCTGGGCGGACGGAAAGGGCGGAAAGGCCTGAGGGGGCAGCGGGCTCGGCTCCCCCCAGGGCCGGCCTCGGCGGTGGATGCCCTCGGATCCCCGATGAGTTCCGCTGTTCTTCCCGGGATAACGGAGGTCTGTGCGAGCGGGATGGGGGGCGGCGAGCGGGCCCGGCCCTGACCTGGGTGATTTAAATCCCGGCGGGGATTTAAGCGGTGCGCCTGGAAGGAGCCCTTGCGGTGTGATTTTCCTGTCCCCTCCCCGAGGGGAAGCTGGTATTACGTGTTTGTTTGCTCCTGGTACCTTCAAGAGCCTCTCAGTGGTTTTCTCGAGCATTACCATGTATATTAATGGTGTGGTGGCAAGCAGGCCACGGTTTGGTGCAGTGAGGACCGTTGTCCTGACATTAATCAGCATGCTGGTTTAATTTATTGTGCTGTCTGCACAGGGATTCTTGTGCTGGTGGTGTAGCACAGCACCTCCGAGCACTTACCTGGGTGTGGGTGGGAGGGTTTCACTCGGTTCCTGCTTGTCAGCCTTTGTGTTTCTACTGGAGTTGTCTTAAATGCTGCCTGAAAGTTGGCTCAGTTCAGCAGAACCCAAGTGCCTGTGCTGAAAGCATTGTCTTTGCTCTGTGTTTTCCAAGGTGAAAAGATGAGGAAACTGAACAGTCATTGAAATAAGTATCTGCTGTTCTGTATATGGAGAACTGATTCTGCCAGTTTGGGCTCAAGCAGGTGTCTTCCCAGACCACTGCATATCCTGCTTCTGTTCTGTGCTGCTGGTAACTGTTTTTTCCAGTTGTGCAAAAGGGAGATGTTCCTGCCCTAATGATTTTCCAGAGGTGTTTGTGTGGTATGTATGGGACGTGGAGAATCCTGTTGTGATGCTCCATATGATCTTGGGCTTTTAGTGTATAGGTTGATCTGCAACAGCAACTGAGATCTTTGTTTCTGTCATGCCCTGCAAGTGACTGGATTCATTCACAAGAAGAATTCAATAAGTGAACTTCCTGTTGTAAAGTCACGCTTTACTGAGTTCAGAATAAGAGCCTCCATGCTCTAGGAGACCACTGGGACGGGGTGGCATAGTAACACATATGAAATCTGTCATTTAACCTGGTCATTACATCTGTCATAAATGTCAGTAAATCTGTCACTGACCAACACCTGGTCAACGTTTTCATGTGGCTAATGTTTAAAATAATAATAGTAAGAATTCACTTCGTAATTTCAGTGTTTTGAATAGCTCTTGCAATGTAACCTTTCTGTACAGCTGAAGCCTTCCTTGTTCAAGTAGTTCTTGTGTAATAATTCCATCGAAGGACATAGACTATCTGGATTCTAAACCTGAGAAGCACCAACATATTTTGGTATTTAGTACTTAATATTTTTATATTTGGCATCTGTGAAAAATGCTATTTCCCCTCTCCCTTCCCAGTAGATATGAAATAGGAAAAACAGAGCTACTGTTTGCACTGATTTTTTTTCTAACTTCAGAGTATCCATGTAGCTGGTGGAATGCAGGAGAAGTTGGTTCTTGTGAAGTAGGGCCATTCTGTAAGTTCTTGCTAAGGTACAATTGTCCTTGTTTTCTTCTGCCTGTTTGAACGAATGTGAAATAATTTTTTCTGTCTTATATGGACTTCTATATTGCTGCAAAAAATAATCCTGAGATGGAAATGGAGCAGAGCAGCCCCTCGACATCCCGGCCCCTGCTCCCCTCGGCTGGGGCCTCCCCCAGGCACAGCTGTGCTTCCATGTTCCCTGTGGGGCCCAAGGAGTCAGTCCCTGCCATAGTGGGGGCTCTCGAGGCCCTGGGTCGGTCCCCACCATTTTGGGGCAGCCCCTGGGTCAGTCTCTGCCATTCTGGACTGGACCAGAGGCTGACTGAGGCTCACGGAGGGCAGGGCAGAGCAGTGGCCGTCCCACCTGTACAGAGCTCAACCTGTTCCCCCAAACACACTTCCCACCTGGTTGTTTTGAGCCAGTCAACCCTTCTCTGGTGTTGTGCAGAAATAAAGCTGGAAGTGCAATCCTGGAAGCAGTTTGGGACATTACTAAGGACGAAACTTTTTGCTAAGGTATAATTGTCCTTGTTTTTTCTGCCTATGTGAAGTAATGTGAAATAATTTTCCTCTTTTCTGTCTAGGCTGCCCCAGAGTGTTAATTCTCAGAGCAGTTTTGTCTTGAAACATTTTTGTTTCCAGACAAGTCTTTGCCTTTTAAAATTGCCTTTTTCTGAGGTTTGTACAACTCCCTGTTGTCCTTGGAGAGATGCAGGTGTTGAAGAGCCTTATCCCAGCATCTCCTGGGCAGGATGCATTGCATGTGTTTTCTCCTAGTTTTGTGTGTTTCAGGGTGTTTTTTTCTTCTAGATTTGTGCCTTTTTAACCCTGTTGATGTGTTCACTTGCTTTGCCTTTGATCCTTGGATGATTGAGAAGACTGAAGGTGATGGGGTGAGAAGGGTGAGGTTTCAGTGAGGAGAGCCCTTGAGAGCTTAATGAGGCTGAGGCCAGGTTTTGAGGAAGAGTGTGCACTGAACATGGTTTGCTGAGAGGCTGGGAGAAGTTGTCATTAGACAATGCATTTATAGTGCAAGTGGCATAGGAACAGGAGAGTCATTCCTATGGATTGAGCAGACTTTTGGCACCAAAGTGTTGTGAAGTCCTTGTCTAGTGAAATGGGGAAGGCATTGCTGCACGGGTGGGCATTAATTATTTGTCTGGGATAATGAGTACCTGGAAAGGAGTGTCTTGTGCTCAGGACATGTAGAGCTGAAACATAACTAATGAAGAAGAGAGAGACATCTCTGAGAATGAGCACATGCAGAGCAGGCCCCACAGGGAAAGAATGAAACCGACCTGTTGCCTACATTATTTTTTCTGTAAGTGAAACAGAAACCGGTGTTTGGGTGTAAAATGGAAAGCAGGAAGGTGTTTGTGCTTTTTTTTTTTTTTTTGTGCTAAGTGTGTTTCTAATACTTTGTTTTCCTGATAACCAGTTGGATAAACTGTTCTTAGCAGAGTGTGTGCTTTTTGGCTTTTTGCTTGTATGTTTGGCTTGGTTTTGTTTGTTCACCTTTTCAGTATAACTCCTCTGGACTCTTTGCTACACTGCCAGTTACAAACAGTAGTCTTTTTTAATTAATATTTTCAGTTCAAGGCAGGGGTTACAGTGTTGATGTGTCTACATGTTAAATTCTCCGTCTCAGAGAGGGAAGCCTACGGAGACTGAATTTGTAGTAAGTAAGATCAAGTTATCCTTTGATGGTGTTTTGTTAAGAGCTGATGAACCAAAAACCTTCCTTTTTGCACACTGTTGTGGCTGGTGAGCTCCTTTTCCATGTGCAATGATGGCATATTAATGCTCTTCAAATTCGAGTGGGGAAAGACTTCTTTTCCTGTGGATTTGTAGTGTGTTTATCAAATGAAATACTAGCAAATGAATCCAAACGTTTTGCAGTGGTTAGCATGGGAGATCACACACTTAAAAGTGTCTTCCTGGTGAAATTTCAGACCTAAATATTGTGTATCTTTTTGTCTTTGTAGTGATGAAGCAACAGTTATCTCAGGGACAAAGCTTGCCAACCAAGTGTTGCAAGAAGTTCAAAGGGATGTAGAATCGTGGATATCCGTTGGCAACAAGAGACCTCATCTCACTGTCGTATTGGTAGGAGACAATCCAGCCAGTCATATCTATGTCAGGAACAAGATAAAAGCAGCTGCAGCTGTGGGTATGTCCTATAAGTGATCCTTTGGTAAGCACAAGATACTGTTACTTAAAAATAAAACAATAAAGCAGGAGGAATCCCCTGTTTTGTCTTAATTCAATCTTGCACCATTTTCTTCCTCATCTCCTCTGCTGAAGCTAAAGAAAAGAAATTGCATGGACATAGGAAGAAAGTAGTTTTAATGTCACTTGAGTGGGAGCCCTAAGTTTACTTCTGTAGTGAAATGTTGTTAGGAAAGAGTTTTTCAGCCTCAGACAGGTTTTTAGACTGAATGACCAAGCTGCCCATAGATTTGTTTCCCGATGCTAACGTGTCTCCTGTTTTTTGTTTTTACCAGGCATTTCTAGTGAGATCATTGTGAGGCCTAAAGACATTTCTGAGGAAGAGCTCTTAGATCTGACAGTGCAACTCAACAAGGATTCGAGAATCAGTGGTTTGTTAGTTCAGCTTCCTCTGCCAGGTGGGTGACACCTTTTGTCCCATTTCTCCTCTACAGTCCGTGTGAGAGGAAAGAGTGTGAGGCTTTTGGGCTGCCTGGGGACATGAGAAGCTGTTGAGAGAGGACCTGCATAGTGAAGGATTGGGTGAGATGGTAATTGTTTTGTTCCACCTGCTGTTCATTTTAAACAAAAAACCAAATTGTGAGAATTGTTTCCTTTGTCAAACTCGCCTTTTTTTGGATCAGTCAGGGTGGTGTTTCAAGGCATTTCCCTCCACTCCTAATTTATCCAGTTGAGTTATCTTTATTTTTCAACCTGTTGCAGTGTTTTGCCTTAGCTCCATACTTTCATCCCTTAGATGATGCTGAGTTATGCTATGCAGGAGATGATGCCACAGCTTTTCTCACAGCGATTGGAGGTTTTGCCTTCAGTATTTATTCCTGTTTTCTGTGCTGTCTCCCTAATGGTCCAAGTGAGGTTTGTGCAGAAGTCCTAAAAGCCTTGACTGAAATCTTGTTTTTTTAATTTGCCTTCTCCTAATTTGTAGTATAATCTCACTGAAATATCACTTGGGAGTAGCTGGCCAAGTGGTAATTTTACAGTGATGAAAGTTGTAAAAAAAGCCCTGAACTAAACTAAAACCATTTTCCATCTGGGAAAGAGCAAAAGTGGGGCAGGTGCTGAGAGTCGTCGAGGAAGAAGTGCTTTGCTTGTCTTTGCAATCAAGAGCAGCGCTCCTGGTGAGGGGGGTTTGCACTTGGTCTGCCAGGAGAGCTGCCTGAACCTGGCCACGTGCTGCAATAAATTTGCCACCAGGTGGAAGTGCAGCACAGGAAAGGAGGCAGCTCTTGGAGCCCAAGTAAGGATGTGCTGGAATGTGGTGGTTTTCCTTTGCTCAAACATCTCTGCCACTAAGAGCGGATCAGAGTGAACAGGTAATGTCACAAACGTTCATTCCAGCAGTGAGAACTGCTGCAAAAGATGGAGTGCTGAGAGTCCAGGGGTGGAAAACTTTGTGTCTGGAGGCTGTAGCAAAAAATGGCTGATGTGCTTCCTTCAGAGTTGAGTTTGTTGGGTTAGTTTTGGGTTTTTTTTCAGTAAACCACGTGATGTGTGGCTTTTGATCAACATTGGGATAAAAACAGAATCAGAAATAGCTTTGTTCTCTTGCAATTTGTGAGATTGCCAACTTAAATGTGAGGATTGTGATTCTGTGATCTCCTGAGGAGAACTTCCTTTCTGTGCATATTTTGAGTGCATTGCCTGGGATGTGGTGTTGGTTTTCTGGAAACTTTCCTGTATTTTATTTGGAATTGCCTAGTAGATGGCAATTTTGTATTATGTTATGTATTTGAGAGAGAAGATGAAAATCCATCTGGTATTTTTTCCAGTCCTTTTCTGCTATGCTTTTGTTTTCATCAGTCTTCCCTGTTGCAAGCTAGTGTTTATTTTCCCTGTGCCAACACTAGAGGCAGATGTTGTTTGTTGTGTAAATAGGAGTTTCTCTGTGTGCAAGTTGGAGTAGCTGGGCAAGGGATGCCCAGTGTAGCCCTGCAGGTTTAGCTCCCAGGGGAGAGGGTTAGTGCAGGGAGGAACTTGGCCTGGAGAGTGGCTTGGAGTGGCAGTGAGGAAATTTGTATAGATATCAGCTGCTGTTTCATGAGACTGACAGTAAGGTAATTAAGGAATTACTGTGTTCCTCTGGAAATAAACAGGGCTGTGTGCAGGCACCTGGAAACAAACCAGGACAGTGCATTTCTTTAGGCGAAAAAAACCTGCCCATTAAATAACACAGAAGTGTCTCTACAGTGTGAGTTGGGTTGGTTGGTTTGTTTGTTTGGGGATGGCCCAGCCACAACAGAATTTGGGAAGTGTCCCCATCTTGTCTTCTCAGGCCCACGTCAGCCCACTTGTCCCCAGCTCTGCAGCTGTATTTCTTCCAGGTCCTCTGTGCCCTCTTCTGAAATTGTGCAAACCAGTTTTGAGTGGGGAAGACGATCCATGTAAAGCATGATTTCTTTCCCTTTGACATGATTGTGCCTATTACCTGTCTATTCCTGGGAAGCTAAAGACAGACAGGGGCAAGGTGTCTGACAGAGCAGGGTTCTCCCCCATCCCAGGCAAAAGCTACCAGGTTTGTGTTGCATGAACACCTGACTTGCCTAAGGTTAGCAAATTCTCTTTTGCAAAAACCATTTCATAAGTTGCTCCAAATTTCCTTCTTCTTCGTTTTTTTATTCCCCAGGTTGGCATAAAAACAAGGTTATGGTTGCTTTCAGTCTCTCTGAGGAGAGTTCACTTCTAGGAGACTCTTTCATCAGTGTACTTAATATCTCAATTTCCACAGCCCTTTCTCATTAGGAATCAGAAGGAAACTCCCTCTCATCAGAAAATGGAGAATTAAGTTGTAAATCAGAGCAGTCAGAGTGTAACCCCAGGGTTTTTTTAATTGAAAATCATCTAACAGGAGTTTACAGTGTGTAAGTTCTATAACATGCTTGATATCTTTTAATTAGTTATCTCCTTTTAATGCAAAACCACAGAATACCGACTAAATGCAAACATGGTGTTTATGTCCCTCAACTGTTGTTACTGGCAATGTCTGAATTTCCTTATTAACTCTCCTGTGCCTTTATTTGGCTTTTTGAACCATCCCATAGTGGTCTCTGAGTGGGACACTGGGATATATGGCCTCACAGCTGCAGGGTTATGTTGGGATGTGGCCCGGAATGGGTGACATGTGGTTATGTAAAAGATGCAAAAAATAATCCTTCTGAGATGGAAATGGAGCAGAGCAGCCCCTTGAGAGCAGCGTGTCACCGTCCTTTTTGTCTGCTCCCCTCAGCTGGGGCCTCCCCCAGGCACAGCTGTGCTTCCATGTTCCCTGTGGGGCCCAAGGAGTCAGTCCCCGCCATTTTGGGGCAGCCCCTGGGTCAGTCCCCGCCATTTTGGGGCAGCCCCTGGGTCAGTCCCCGCCATTCTGGACCGGACCAGAGGCTGACTGAGGCTCACGGAGGGCAGGGCAGAGCAGTGGCCGTCCCACCTGTACAGAGCTCAACCTGTTCCCTTCACACACACTTCCCACCTGGTTGTTTTGAGCCAGTCAACCCTTCCTCTGGTGTCGTGCAGAAATAAAGCTGGAAGTGCAATCCAGGAAGCAGTTTGACCTGTTATTAAACAGTGAAGCAGTAGATTATAATGTCCCTTGTCATTGCAGGGAGGTTGGAAGTAGATGCCCTTTAAAGGTCCCTTCTGACCCAAACTATTCTAATTCTGGAATTGTGACTGAGGTACCACTGTGTAAATACATTTATTAAACAGTTTGCTTTCTGGATCAGTAGGGGATGTTTTATGGAGCTGTTCCTTTGGCGTGTTGTTCTTTGGGCCAGCTTTAGACTTGGGTTTGTAACTCTGCAGAGAGAGGACTGGCAAACATTTTTTCATAATCAGTCCTAATGTTTATGCAGTATAAGCTTTAAGCAGTTGTAGACCTCTCCCATATCTTTAGTGCATATGAAAAATGTTCCTTAGGAATAGATATCGACAATATATGTGCAGAGAACGTTGTTTAAGCCATAGACAGTGTTTTGAGCTCATCGGTATCAGTTTTGTGTACTGTCAGCTTTGCAATGAGGTAGGATATGTTTTGGTCCTACTCATTACCAGATGAATAAAAATGGTTGTATTGCTGGAAAATGAGAGCTCGACCTGCGAAGTTACTTCAGCTTAGGGTTTCCATGTATTTGTTTAATACTTAGATCATTATCCCTTGTGATCTTACACGTACCATGGACAATGGCTTTTTTGAGCCACTTCCAGAATGCAGAATGACTCTGAAGTGACTTGCTTAAACCTGTCTTTTTATGGTTACTGTCATCATTCTCAGCTGAGTATTGGCCTCTCATATTCTGACAGAATCTGTTGATTAGCACTGTGACAAATGCCATAGTGTACTTTTGAGTGGATTACTTGAAAAGTAACTGCTGCCTTTAGAGGCACAGTGTAGTCTATTCCCAGTGAAGAACAATAATTACCCTCGTTAGTCCAAGTGTGTCTGTTTCTCTGTAATGATTCAGACATATTGGTGACTCCATCCAAGTGCCAGAACTGTAATTTGGGAGCATTGTGTCTCCCAGATCACATAGATGAACGGAGAGTTTGCAACGCCATCGCCCCGGAGAAGGATGTGGATGGATTCCATATCATGAATATTGGACGTCTGTGTCTCGATCAGCCTTCCATAATTCCTGCCACTGCTGCTGCCGTGTGGGAAATCATAAAACGGACAGGTAAGAAGCTCAACTGTCTTGAAACCCTTTTCATCTGGGGAGAGGAGCAAAGGGTTAAGTGAGGTGTGAGTTAAAGGTTATCTCAGTGTATTGGGCTGAGTGAAGAACAAACAGTTAGAGGAGTAATGTGAATAATAAGGAGGTGCCAAATAGATGAGATCTTGTGCCAGTAGCATAACTGTTAATTAAGTGAAGAGAGTAGTACTTGGTGGAACACTTTGGTAACTTTCTGCCTTTTACAGTGTTGCAGGGAACTTTCTGTGCTGTTGTGTACCTCCTGATTATTTGTGAAATAGAAGGTTTGTATGCCTAAGTTTCTGTAAGTGAAAGGGAAGAAGCAAGATCAAGAATGGGAGCAGTTAATTTCCCTTTTTCAGGGGAAAAGAGTGCCCACATGTTCACTAGTGTTCATTTTCTCCTTAGAATGTGTGTGTTCTGACTGGTAGCCATTAGAGCTTCAATTCCCCTTTGTGGTCAGAGAAGGGAAATGAAGTTCCTGCTGAGGGTGGTTCAGATCACCTGAATGAGTTGCCAGTTTTCTGTCCGCCAGGGGAAAGCTGAAAGTTGTTTTGTGGATTCCTCCCTCAAATTCAGCCCTGTGGATTTTCACGTCAGGTTGATGTCAGCAGTCCACAGTAACAGATAATTCAATCCTGGGGAGTGAGAAGAAGGGTTTAGGTGTATCAAAATAGTGAAATAGAATTTTTTAATTTTTTTTCTCTAAGGAATACCCACATTTGGAAAAAACGTTGTTGTAGCTGGAAGATCTAAGAATGTTGGAATGCCTATCTCAATGCTGTTACATACTGATGGAGAGCACGAAAGGCCTGGAGGTAAGTACAGGGATGTTGTTTGGATGTTTCCCTTTGTGAAATGCTGAAAGTGAAGCTGACCAGAGGATTCAACTAAAAGAGAAAGCTTTTCACTTTTGTCAACAGCTCTAAGGGGAGCAGGGAAATAAATTTGCTCATCTATTTCCTGGCATATTCTCAGGTGAGTAGTTTCTGGAGTCGACTTTTTCTGGTATTACATCACCCCGCTGTCCTCCCTTTGAAAGAGCTGCTGTTTCCATGCTGTTAGCACTGAATGTGGAGGATAACAGTGACAGTGTGGCCTTAAAGAGCTGCAGAGTTTGTGTGAAGTTTGTACAAATCCATGCAGCTCTGTGCCTTCCCCTCCTGCTTATTTGGTAACCACGTCGTTTTCGTGCCCACCTGAGCACACACATACACAGAATTCCACCTACGCTTTTATCTGTCCATGTAAAATAAAGATTCCATCATTTTTGTTGTGCTGTGTCAGTTAATTGGTGTTTATGAAAATGCCCAAATGCCCAACCCAGTAACTTGTTTCAGCGTGAGTTCAGGGATATTACCCACGTTGGCCTGGGGGATGTTTCTGCGGGGCAGTTTATATCCCCCTGGAACCTGGGGGTTGTAGTGGAAATATTTTTAAGCAATTCTAATTACAGAAGCCTGCATGTGCTGCTATAATTGTGCTGTAGGAAGAGAAACAAGTATAATTTAAATAGAGTGCTGCCCTTTTGCAGCTTCCTTGTGGTGTTGGAAAGTGCCACCGTGGTATGCACAGGTGAGGTAAACATGAACGTTTAATCCCAGGCCCATTTAATAGGAGCGGAGTGAAATCTGTTATTAATATAATAAAACACTAAAAGCTTTGCAGTAATCATGGAGTTGGTTTTTCCATTCAGCCTCTGTGGGAAAGTTGCTATTTGAAACTTCTCTCAGTGTTGGAGTTGTAATTACCATCGGTGCATAGTTCTGGTCTCATCCCCATTCCCATGAAAATGAGTCGCATTTTTGCCCTTTGCTGCGAATCCTGGGTGACGAGTCTTACTGGCAGTACAGATGGTGTTTGGAGTAGGCTTGGTGCAGCACAAAGTTAGGTTGCAAACCATTCACATGTTTCTCAGTTGGAAATCTGGAGATTTAGTGACCTTGTTGTACTCTGTGGTCTTCTGCCAGTGTTCTGGCTCCTGACATCTTACGCAACTTCTTTGGCACCCTTGTTTGCTGACATTGTCGGTGGTGCTTTGTATGTCGTGTATTTGATGTTGGACAGAGAAATGGTTGGCTATTGCCTTAGCAGTACCAGACCTGGAATGTAGATACAGAAAGACTTAAATCCTTGAAGTTATCTTTGCTTAATTTGAAGAAATGTATTTATTGTAAGGTAGGTGTTCTAGTTTTCCCCCCTCCTAAGTGGTGGTACACAGTATAAAGCAGCTGACAGTGAGAAAACTAAGGAACAAGTGTACTTCTTAGACAATAAACCAGCATTAAGTGTGGGTATATCTTGTGTACATGGTGATAAATAGTTTTATAGTTGTAATCCGGTGGAGTTTTCATTGGTGACTCGTAGATGGGGCTGTCCTTGGAGATCTGGTTCATCTCCTGCAGGTGGTTTTCGGCTCTGCTGCTGCTGTGAACAGCAAGAAGCAGCCTGGATGGTGTGTGGAAGGCAAGGCAGGCCAGGGTTAGGCTTTAGCTTTTTTTTTAACTCAGAAGGATGGGACCAGACAAGACCTAAACCAAAGTGCTGAAAAGGAACTTTCTCAGGCTGTCAGTCCAGGGTAGTTTTTTATCAGCAGTTGGGCTGATTTGATGAAATGTTTTTGATTGAGAAGTGATGCAAGGAGTGTGTAGGATAGTACTTTTTTCTTCCTTTCTGTTGTAGGTTTTGGTTGGTTTTTTTTAACAGATCATGAACAAAACTGAAAAGATGGGGCATGTCTTCATTTGGGACGTTTTGTATGTAGGAACAGTCATATCCTGCAGGTGGCAATATCTGATCAGATGGAAGAGCTGTGTGAACCCTTCCAAAACAAATCATGATCTGTGTAGGCAGGTCAAGAGACTATCTGTGTTTTATAACCTAGGGAATTGACTTGGGAGTATGATGTGAAATCTTAATTGCTAAATATACTCCTTTTCTTTCAGCAGAAGTAACAGTGTAAGAATAGTTTATTTTTTATTTCGGCATGATCACAAATAAATGGAAAACCTCCCCTTTCTGAGGTGTCTGTAAGCTTCTGGACTGCTATTCTCAAGGTAGGGGCTTCCCCCCCTTCTTTCTCATTTCCTTTTTGGTAATGAGAGCAATTACTTGGTTTCAGGAGCTGACAACAGACACATCTGTCACGAAAATCTTGGTGGCAAATTAGCACTGATTTTATGACTCAGAGGTAACTTTGTAACTTTGGGGGTTATCCTTTCGTTTTTCTCACCCTCTATGCTGAGTTATGATTGTGATTTTGGGGAAGACATACTTCTTTTGTTTAAAGCAGGTATCAGAAGACTCCTGTTTCAAGCCTGTACTTTTCTGTTCTCATTATCTGCAAATGTCTTGATCTGCCTCCCTTTAAGGAGATGATGGAGACTATAGAGACTAAGGAGGAGGGATTAAAGATGAGGGGAAAGAGCAGAGAATTCAGAGCACAGAGATGTTGAAGAGGAAATGCTTGAGGAAGAGAGTTAATGAGGGCACAGATTAGTTCAGTCAGACACATTCCAGAGGAAGGAGATGTGATGGTAATATCTGAGATGACCAAAAGTTTTAGTTTAATGGTTAATGATGTGGCTTAGGAGTCTGTGGTGAGTGGAAGGCAGAGATGGAGGGATGTAACGTCTGAACACTGCAGTACAAATAGTTGACAGGAAGAGGGTTGGGGGGATCTCCTTTGAGAGCTGTTTTCTTGGCTGCTTGCTTGGGCAATCCTTAAGGGATCACCACACTTGATGTTGGATGCGGTAGGAGACTTCAGACCCTCTCCCCATGACAGTTCATTTTGTGTGGTGTGGCCTTGGGATGTCCATCAAACAGCACAGGGGTTTATTTGTAGCTCTTGCCTAGAACTGTGGGTGTGTGCAGGAGCAGCCCCCAGGTGTTTTGAGTTTGCCCCGAAGGATATGTGCTTCTCCTGCTTGTACTGGTGATCTTGTGTTTGAAGCTTTAGTTTCTGACAAACAACTGAGTCTTGTGGCACCCTGTACAAATTGGGCTTGATAAAGCAGACAGTGGTTTCCATGCTGGGTTTGCTTTCTGTAATTCCACTGAACCTAACAAAGCTGCAGAAGGAATAATTTAGTCTACAGTGTATAAACTAATACATCCTGTGAGAATTTCTAAGAGCAAACATTTCTTCATACATTTGACCCGCGAGTGTTGTGAGTGTTCTGCCCATGCTCATTGAAATGTTCCATCCCAAGACAAATCCGATGATCATCTGTTCTGTTGTTAATGTACCAAAGTAAGTAATTTGCACCTGAAAGTAAATGCTGTACTTTTTATAGCATTTCATATGTGGCAATTAATTGCTAATGTATTCCATTTCAGGTGATGCCACAGTGACCATTACTCACAGATACACCCCAAAAGAGCAGCTCAAGATCCATACGCAGCTCGCTGACATAGTAATAGTAGCTGCAGGTAATGCTCGTTGTTGTTAATCCTCCAATTGCAGCATTTCCAGCTGAAAAGGAGGACTCTGAGTCTGTGGCAGTGGCTGCTCCCGGTTCCACTGAGCAAGGTGTGCTCGCGCTTGCCGAGGGTGTTGCAGCAGGGAGGATTTGTGCAGTAGGAAGGGCGAGTGATGTGGCTCTTTGTTCTTGCCCTTCACATTTGCAGACTCATAAACTGTTTCTTGTCACATGTGACACCTTTGCCTTAGGGAGACTTCAGAGTGAACTCAGGATTGGGAACCAGTCAGTGCATAGTTTATACGGGTATAATTACGTAAATTAAAACATTCTCTGTGTCGTGCAAAAGTCATGAGTCATTTAAATTCTGACAGGAGGGTTTCTTTAAATCAGCTGGAGGCTGCATTCATAACACCGTGGTATCATTCCCCTGCTGTTGAGGGCAACCCTGCTAAGTTAACTGAAGGTTTTGGTAACCTACGTTATTATGGCTGGGTTTTTTTCCTTTTACAATTATCATGTAGAGGGGAAGAGAATGGTAATGGCCTGGAGGCAGGGGTCTGAAAAATCAGTGTCTCTACTCATAAAGCAATGTAGAGTGAAATACTTAGAGTTTGACTTGTTTATTCCAAAGAAACAAGCACAACTACTTCTAAGAGACCTCTGGTTTTTGTTGACAGGTATTATAAATAGGAAAACCCCCATAATTTAAAACAAACAAATAATGCAACTTCCTAAAATGTTGGTAAAACTGTGTGTCCCTTGCAGCTCAGGATATCATCCTTCTCTTGTACCATTTTGAAGCAGTACAGGAGGATTGTGTCTTTCCCCTTTTCTGCTCCCTTTCTCCCTCCTCCTCATCCTCGAGGCCCAAATCGTGCTTCCTTGTTTTCTAGGTGGAGACAGAGAGGTACCTGTCTAAAGCTTGTCACTTCCTGTTGAAGTGAGAGGCCCTTGGCTTCAGGGCTTAACTTCTGTGTTAACTTCCAATGGCAGCTCAGGAGCAAAAACAGCTTGTTTGTCCCACATCTATTTACCCAACTGTGGGCCTGACCAGAATTCCCCACTGAATGAAAGATAACAGTGCGTGCACTACCTGGAAATAAACCAGTAACTTCTCATCCAAATTCCCTGCTCCCAAGTCCATTGTCACTTCAGATTCTAACAGCGAACGTGATTTGTCATCAGTTCTGCTTGGAGTTAAATGACCCAGTAGCAATTCAGCCATGTTGGCACTTCCCATTATTTTCCTTGTGTCATTTGTAACAGGAGAGTGATACAGCACTCATTGCACAACTTGAGATATACTGGGAATGATGAAAACACACTAGGGCTTGGTTGTGCAAACAGCATGCAGCCCTGCCCCAGTGGGTGCTCTGGGCAAGATTCTGCTTCAGAATGGTGGAATCCCTCCAGGCTTCCTCTGTTGCGTGAGAACTGTGCCCATTGTACCATTGGGATCACACGCTCCCGGAAATGCGTGACCTGCTTGAGTGTTGCAGAACAGGTGACTTGTACCCTGCCAGGTTGGAGCAGCTGCTGGTACAGGCCGCTGTGCAAGATGTGGAAACGGAAAAGAGCTTTCTGTGTTTGTCTGTGTGCAGGACCAAGATTGCTGTTCTCACTCTTTTCTCCAATTCCCATGTAGTACTTTTAAAGAGCTGTCTGCATCCTGGCTCCTGGATGGTGACTTGTTGCAGTGAGCCTGTTTTGTGTGGTACTCCACCTCTGAGTGCTTTTCTGTTCACTTGCATCCCTGGCTGTGGTAATAGCTCAGATAAGGTGCTTCTTATTCTCCCCCAGACTTGGGGCCCCTGATTTTCTGCTTATTTGGATTGTAACTATCCATGCAGTTTATTCCTTCCCTCTTGTTCCCTCCCAAATCCTTGCCTCATAAGTTCCAACAATGCTGCCTTTGTCCAGCCTACCCCTCCCTGAAATCTCTTTCAGTACCACACAGCTTTTGGATTTCTTGCCAAAGCATCATATTTCCTGTGAAGCACACCTGACACTTTGTATCCCTCCAAAGCCTTTCCCATCTTGTCCCTTTATCCCTGCCTATGCAGGCATCCCCCCGAGTCTGTTCTTTTTGCCATTGGCCCCGACCCAGAGTAGAAGGATAAGTGCAGCTTTACCTGTGGTGCTCGTAGAACCACCACAGGACTTGCAGGGCAGTGATGGAGGCAATAGGACTCTTGTACTAGTAAACATGCTGCTCCTGCTCTCTTGGCTTTCCAGTCTGCTGAGAGAGAAGACTCACCTGCCTGCTAGGTTTGGAGAGGGTAAAGAGGAAAAGGAACAAGTGTGCCAAATGCCAGATGAAATTCTTCTGGGACTACCTGTGCCGTCCCTTGGGACGTGATCTGTGGTCCTCTTGTGTAGGAAATGCCGGTTAATCAGCCCCTTTATTCAGGTAGTGTCTGGTCAACTGCATCAGAAATTGGCTGTTTCACCGTCCTTGCACCTAAGCTGGGATGAGGTAGGGCCTTTTTTCTCCTTTGTTTAAAATGTGATTCATCATTTCCTACAAAAATTACCAGGTGAAGGTTTTCCCACATTCTTCAGTCAGTGCATTTTAGGAATAGCTGCTCTAACGCTTATCTCTTCCCACTTGGTATGTAAAGTAGGCTTAAGTAAATAGATCTGCTCATTTGGTTTGGGGGTTAGTTGATTTGTTGCTATTAAGTATTTGGCCTATTATCAAACCATTTTACAAAGGGTGTAACTGTGCAGCTTCCGTTAATGTGCTTCCAGCCCTATCAGACACACATCATTTACCCCCATGAGGCTGAGGCATTATCCAGCTACCAGCCGGCTTGCCATGGATTGCATCAGAGCGGGATGAAGGAGACGCAGCCAGATGTTATCGAGTGGGATGGGAAAGAATTTAAAGTCTTGGCTTGCTCAATGTGCGAAGCAGAGTTTCAAGCTGGTGTCCTATGGGGGAGTGAGAAATGGAGAACAAGAAAGGTTCTTGTATTGCCTGTATCCAAAGGTCTGGCTGTGCTCCAGCACTTCCCAGGAAGCCAAAACCTCGTATGCCAGTGCTTGCCCCCAGTAAAAGTGCAGTTTCCAACCAGATGGATTTGGTTTCTTTTCCTTTTTGTCTTTGCTCCACCTGAGAGAAAAGTGCTTTGGTGGGGAGAGGGGAGTATAGACTCCCTTTGTGGAGTTACTGTATTACTGGGATAAACCTTGCTCTGGGAAGACAGAAGTGAGGGAATGGTTCAAGAAGGAAGGTGGATCCTACCCCAGACACTACAGAGCTGTTGCCCACTGGAAGGTGATGAAGGTGAGCAATGCCAAGGCCGGGCCTCTCTGGTCAAGTGTGGAGGGGTCTCCTGAATTGCTATAAATCACAGGATTTAGTGTGTTGTAGGAGCTCCCCTCTGGAAGGTCAGTGTAATGTGCTTGGATTGCCAAAGCAGTTAAAATTGCTTATTAGTCCAGTGTGTTTCCTGAACCTAAACCAATTCCATGGCACAGCTTTGGTGAGGGGTTTTTTGTAAGTCTTTTTTTCTGTAGTTGTAGCAGTTACAAACTGTGCAGTTGAGGAACAATTGTTTTCAGTGTGGGACTTATCAAGCAACATTGAAGTGAAAGAATTGTGTTCTGTTATGTGCATTCATACCTGTGCATGCACACCCCTTCATATCATTCAAAACTGATGACCTAAGACTACGTGGCCATGTTAATCCAATATGTTGTTGCTGATTCCAGGTGTCCCAAAGCTGATTACTACTGATATGGTCAAAGAAGGTGCAGCTGTGATTGATGTAGGCATCAACCATATCCATGATCCTCTTACAGGAAAAACCAAATTAGTTGGGGATGTGGACTTTGAAGGTCAGTAAAACACTTTGTACAAACCTGTATACATTGAAGTTCAGAGGATTCCTTTACGGTAAATACTTGGAATAGGCAGTGTCTCAAATGAGACATTATTTGCAGAAATTTTTTGTCATTTACTTACTTAAATAAAATCAATCTATCTCCTTTCAAAAAAGGCTATGCTATTTGAGAGAGAAAGTGTTGCTTTTAATTACAGGAACAGCAACCTTTAAGAGACACAGATGAGCTCTTCTGTCAGTGTGATGCAGAAGTTGCTTCTCTCCCTGTTTCTTTAATCTTTTGTGTCTGTGAAGTGTTTCAAGAGTAATCAATTCAAACAATTGCTAAATAATAGATAATAATAATAATAATAAATCAAAATCAATCTCCTCTCTCTCAAGCAGAGGGTCTCCCACTGTTCATAGCAATCATTATTATACCACAGCTGCTCAAGCTTCCTTATATGCTCTCCCTCTGTGCCTGTCTGTGCAAATGTTAACTTTGGCTTTGGAATTATCCTTTACACTAAGGTGTAATGTGGGTTCATCTTAAACTTCTGAACATCCTGGTCCAGGCAAGCATAGCAGATAAAAATTGTTGTTCTGTATTGATCTTTTTTTATGTTTAACATGTTGCAGAGCAAGTTCACAATGTAACTTGATGAAGTGTCTCTGCTCTGGAGGAGTTCCAGACTGGAATAGCAGGATTGTTGGAGTTGAAAATTAAAGCTTACTGGCAGAGTTGAGTGTGGGAAGCTTAGGCAGCATTTACCCACATTATTAATGGTTCTCAACAGTTCCTTATTTTGATAAGTATGAAAATCACCCACAGGTTTTTTTCACAGTTATTAACATGTTGGCAGGCCTAATGTCTCAAAGCTTAATTATATTCAGAATGTTTGTAGCCAGCTGTGTGTGTTTGTGATTCCATCACTCCCTGAGTTCTGCTGCTTTTCCTCATTGTGCACGATCCCCCCGTGTTAAAGTGTGTGAGATCACCTGCACCAGTGGAGCTGAGCCACTGTCTCGGCATGCGTTTGGAAATGTGTAAGTGGATGTGTACAACAGAGCTCAAGGAAAATCACATGTTTGGAGGATAACTTGAAAAGTTTCTCTTCCTTTCTTATCTTGCTTGTGCTGTCACAAATCAAAGGTTCAATTTTCTGTTTTCAGAACTGAACGAAAGTACAGAGATTTTTCACAAATTTTGCCTGAGCAGGTATTGGAGTAAAAAAGCTGTAACTTTGAGAAACATGAAACTACATCCTTCGTGTTTGTTTCTCTTCAAACACAAGACCTTGTGCCTGCAATATAGGTGTAGATTCGGTGGCGGGCTGTGATTCAGAGTTTCAGCAATGCGCTGTATCTGTCTCGTCATGTCTGCTGTGGGTTGTTCTCAGGATTTTACCTGGGGGGAGGGAAGATCCAAAAAAGAGGGAGGATTGGATTATGCCACTACAGTTGCAAGTAGCATTTCACTGTGCATTGCCAAAGGGAAATTGTTGTTGGTTCATTGGTATCGGTGAAAGTTTCACTAAATCTCTAACAACAACAAAAAACATCCCAGTGTGTACAGTTCTGAATACTAACAAGTAAACCACCCTTGGCAAGTATTTGATTTGACAGTCAGGAGATGGAACAAGCCAGTGTGTTCATGTAGCGAATCATTTTTTCCTTTTCCTCCATTTGATCACTTGACTGAATTTATATTTCAGTCCAAGTGAAAATGATTTTTGCAGGTTGAGGCCAGCTACATAAATGGCTGCCATGACATAGGGCACCTGTTAAACATCCTGTATCCTGCCCACCAATATCTATTGTCTCTTCACTCATATTAAGTAGAAAAATGTGGCTGTGAGAAGAGCAAAGGTTTAACTGGGCAATCAAAGGTCAAATTTCATGTATAGACGTAGATAGCAATGGCTTCCTTCACCAGATCTCTTGGCTGAAAAGCTCCTGTAGTGGAAATTAAGTTATTAGATGGCTGGAAGCTGTTTTGATTCAACTGTCATATCCAAGCAATACTTAGATGCCATCTTCTAATCTCTGAGGTAGGTTAGACAGTGAAGGTGTTATATCTTTAGCAACAAAAGGATACCATTTCAATTTTTTTTTTAATGTTTTTCATTATTAAATTCAATGTAAAAAATGCCCAGAGGCACTCTTTGAGCAACACTTATTTGCAACAATTATTAAGTGTCTTTAAACAATATTTGTGATTTCCCACATCCTCACATCTCTTTATTTTGATACCCCACATAATAATAATTTTATTTCCACATAAAAAAGATGGGGTTTTTGTCTGGCATAGTTTACAGGGCAGTTCCAAGGTATCTGAAAGAACAAGACTGGAGAACACTGTGCATGTGGAGGTCAGCTGCGAAGCACTGGAGTACCCAGCCTGATACTGCAGGGAGGTTTTAAACTGCTTCTGCAGCTCTCCATCTATAACCAGCACATTGAGGGGACCTCTGTTCATGTTAAGAATTTGCCAGAACCTGTGGTCTAGGGCAGCATGTTGCAGTCACAGAAAGGGAGACCTGTTTCTATGAAGAGGAGAGTGCACATGTGGGTGTACTTGGCCCTGTTTTATAGGGCTTTTGTTGCCACAGCTATACTGCCAAGGGAGGAGGAGGGCTACAAGGACCAGGAACATGAAATAAAGGAACAGCTTACCCAGAGCATTTAGCTGGAACGGCTTTTTTGGGTGGAACACCAAAAATTTCCAGGAGGGACTGGTAGAGCAGGGTAGTAACACGCCAGTGTAGTAACTCACCTTTGAAACTGGAACTGGAAATGCCCTTGAAACCAAGTTGCCTGTACCTCTTTACAATTTCTTCCATATTTTGGACAAACAGATGGCAATGCTGGCTGTCGAGTATTAGGTGCTTATGTAAAAAAGAAATCTTTTGTGTAAGACCTTTGTAGGTGAAGTAGTTGCAATATCAATGGAGGGGTTTGTACACAGAATCATAGAAGATGCTGAGTTCAAAGGGACCCATGAGGATCATCGAGTCCAGCTCCTGGCCCTGTACATGAGAACTGTTCAGTCGGACTTGCCAGTGTGGAAGAGATTCTGGAAAACGGGTGCCACCAGGAGCAGGGAGGCGGTCCCTGTGCTGAACAGCAGAAGAGATGCCTCAATAAGTGATCGCCGTGGTGCAAGGTGATGGGCGTGTACTATGAATTTCCTTTGAATGAGATCAACCCGTGATAACCTTCAAATGCAGTTTATGAATGGAAATGGTGGTCCTACAGCTGTACCTCAGCTGCAGTGTGCTGGAAACCCGGGCTCTGTGACAGCAGCTGCTTCTCACAGGTGTCTGCTGCCGCTCCGCGTTCACTGTGATACCTGCCTGCCTGTGGGCTGCTCCTCACTTATTGAATCCTTTCCAAATTAGCTCTGTGTGCAGCTTTTCCAGACAGTGGTCATGAAAATAGAACATGGATGTTCCAGCTGCTTTTGCTATAGCTTTAGTTAGTTCATTTCTCAGGTGATTTTGAATATCTGGCATTCATTTTGCAAGTAGTAAAACTCCAGTCTGTGGAATTGTGCCACCGTACTGCTGCCCTGCAAACATCAGGGAAAGCATTGCCTGCTGTTGTGCTCCATGAGTGCAAGGAATCCAGCAGAAGGTTGGCCTTAGGCAGTGGCAACCAGGCTGGCTGGTGGCAGTAAGCTGCTGGGTGGCCCAGGTAAGGTTCTTCTCTGGACAAGAGGATGTCGTGCAGGGGCCTCACTAAGTAATCTGTGATATCTTGCATTTTCGCTGCCACCACTTCTTATCCCAAGGCTACCACGACATCCCATCCACCTGCCTGTGCTAATCAGCTGAATGCGGAGAAGCCGTGATGCGTAATTTCATGCTGGACTTCTCTGCTCAGGATGCCTCTGTTGCTTGGCTTTTAGAGGTACCTGAGAGGGAAATAATGCACTGTTAGAATTATAGTGCTGGGCCATAATTCCTTTGTTTTCCTTTATATTGCAGTTAAAACAGCTGCAGTAAGAGGAACAGGGCCAATATGCAAAAGAAGGAACCCTGAGAAATGGGGTAGCTGCTTGCTTGTTGGTAGTCCACAGTGTAGTGAGCCGAATCGCAGAGCGTGTGGAGCTGAACATGGGATATCTGCTGTGAGTGCTGAGCACGTGATTTCAAGCTTAGGTGGTGCTGCAGGGATGCAGTGATCTGGTGTAGCTTTACAGGGACTTGTAAAGCTGTGTGGAAACAGTGCTTAGGCAGGAATTACTCTGCATCACTTAATGCAGATGCACAAGACCCAGAACTGCCTTCAGGTTGAGACTTGCTCTTGGTTTGTGTGATTAACCCTATTAGGTGTCTGATGTCCTTTGCTTTAAAGGAACCTAGGAATGAAGAGCTGTTTCCAAAGCTGTGGATCCTGTTTTTCAAGGAAACAATCTACATTTCATTTGTTCTGAAGAATCAAAGGAAGATTTCAAGGTTCTCCAGAAGCTGCAAAATAGCAGCTCCTCCTCCATAGGCACCTAATTTGCATACCAGCGTTTTCCAGGTTGGAGGGGAAGGCTTGGGAGACCAGCACGCATCAGGAGAAAGCAGAAGTAAGGCTGGGGACAAAGTTATACTATTCTTGTGAAGCAGAAACAAGATCTGAAGGAACTGACAGCACAACACCTCACCTGCCTACATGAGATCAGTCACACTCAAGTGCTGCCTGGGAACTGTGCTTTGGCCTGCTGCACTTGACCAGGAAAGGAAAATCTGTTCACAGTTTTGAGGGCCACGGTATTTGGCCGCTTTGGTATTTATTCTTACCGATGACAACTTATCAGACAGTAGTTTCCCCAGCACAGACACCTGCTGTGAATTTGAAAATGTGGATCAGCTTTTGTGAATAAACTGTCTGGGCGGTTTTATGCTAACTGACACAAAGTATGGCTTCTGCCACACCGGCTCACAGGGATTTCCATAATGACAGAGTATGGGTAGAGGAATTCCCCAGCAACTTGGGAAAACAGCGCACTGTGTTTTTCCTGCTGACTAGGGTTACTAACACCACAGGCAATACATGTTGTACCTGATACTCATTAGAAGGCTTTCTTCAGGAAAGGCACCATCTAGTTGTGGATTGTCCCTCCTTGTAGGTAAGACAGGAGAAGTCTGAGTAACAGCACAAAAAGAGGTGACATTGCCGTGGAAACAAATGTATTTCATTTTGAAGTGCCTACAATAGTCTTGTCACTGTTAATGTCTGTGTTTCCTTCAGATGTGGGTACATTTCAATAATTAGGATATTAATCCGAGAATTCATAGTAAGTGTATTAACCATAAGCACCAATCTCAAATGGTGGATAGTTCAAAACATGAGGACTATTAAAAAGACAAATTATTTGTGTTTGAGGATATTAAGAGGAACTGCCATATGAGGTCTTAATTTGTTATGGTCTTAATTTGTTATATTTTACATGTTAAAAAAACCGCATTGCAATTTGTTTTCCTTTTCATATATTTTAACGGTATAGCTGGTGGTACCAGTCAACTGAGTAATTAAAACCCTCCCAGTTGTAATTACCATCTCTCCTCAATGAGGCTTAATCTTCTTCTGTTCTTCAGTTCAGTGAGATATTCGCCGTTAACTTCTGCGAATGCTCTCGTTATGTCGCTGCCATGAGGAGTTCAGACAGCATTTGATTCGTTTCTTTTAACTCCCTCTTTCAAATCTAATAAATATTCTTTCCAAAAAAAAAAATCCCAATATCCAGTTTCTCAAATTCTCTTCTGATACGGTTTTTTTGAGACCTTTTTATTCCCTACAGTTAAGCACCACATAGATTCAAGATGAATACCCTTGCAGCAGGAGCAGCTTATCTTGTTTGTTCCAAACGTAGGTGCCAAATTTTCCATCCCTCGACCTCTTATGGCCAGACACACAGTCTGCTCTGTAGTGACTTCAGTGGAATTGAATGTGCTCATGTCAGTTCTGCTTGCTCAGTTGTTTTGTGTGTGTGCCTTTTGGAAAAACAATGCTTTTGAAAGTGGGGTGTGAGTTACCCACAAAAAATTATTACTAAGCAAGCCAAAAAAAAAAACCCAAACTAACAAACAAAACACCTCTCACAGTGGCACCTGAAAAAACCCCCTCAGTAGTAACCAGGTTAGTACAAGGCTCTTTGGACTGACCATCAGTAGTAAATAACTCCTCCTTACAGTTTTTTATGTGATTAGTTCCCAGGAAGTTGCACAAAATTGCTTTGCAAGCAGCTTGCAACTCCAGTCAATGGCATTTTGCACAGCATAGAAAAATATCAAGTCAGGATTTATTGCTGCATTACATTAATTCCTCATACAAATAGGTTAACTTGAGTGCTTACAAAAATTAATTGGTACATATTTGCCTCAACACAAGCATTCAAGGTGTGCACTAAATTTGGATAGTCTGGTGTGGTTCATGGTTGGAGCTAATTCAGCTGTAACTCTTTCCTTTCTGTTCAAAGCTGTACTTTCTCCCTTTGCAATTTTAAGTTCCCTTCTGTGATCTCAGATGTCTGTGTTGAGTGTGTGTCACTGCTGTGGGGAAATGGCAGCGTGCTGCAGGTAGCTCAGGTGGGACAGGTGGTGAAAGCCTGCCCCAGGAGTACTAATACTCAGCTTAGCAGTACCCTGCAGCCCCGGTCCTGCGTTCTGGCGCTGCAGTAACACTTCTGCCTGGGCCTGTCCTGTGCTCTGCAGTACCTGCCCAGTCACACTCCTTTGTGCTCCTCACCAGCTGGGCATTTGTGGGCAGTGGAAGGGGGAAAACCATTCTGGAAACATTCTTAGCCAATACCTATTTCTGTTTTCTCTTAGAAGTGAAGAAGAAGGCTGGCTTTATCACTCCGGTGCCAGGAGGGGTAGGACCTATGACTGTTGCAATGCTTCTGAAGAACACACTCCTAGTTGCTAAAAAGCTCATTTACTAGAGGAAATGGTCTACCTTGGAAGAAGAATCTGGGTTGTTCTATTTATTGATACACAAAATGTCTATTTTTTACTACAAATATATTTATTTCTGCATTGTATTTATTTTTTCATGTCAAGTATGCTAAACCTGATGGTTTACAAAATGTTGAAATACTATGTGTTACCTCCTCCTAGCATATTGTAAGCAAAAATGAGTTTGAGAATGCAGCCTACACAGTTATGTTTTATGTGTTTGAGAATGAAGAATGAAGCATGAATTACAACTGTACACATGCACCCGTGCAGTTACCAAGGGCTTGTAAGCACTTGGGACCCTCAGGTTTGATCAAATAGTATGAAAACTGAGTTTCAACATGGGAGATATGTTTGAAATATATGATTCGAGTTGTGAGGTCACAAAACACTCTGGATGTAGTTCGAAGTCTTGAAATATTTTTTTGTTTTAAACACTTAGAGCTAGCAGCAGAAATCTCAGTTGCAAAAGGAGTGAGAGACTGCAGTGTTTGTGTCAGCTGCCAGGCAGTAATGTTGACATGAATGCAAATGTTCAGTAAATGTTTTAAAATAGCCAAGTAAACTTGAATGCCGGTGAAATTCTGATTTTAAACATCTGCAAGAGGTAAGCATGAATAAGTAGGTAGAATGGAGGCCTGAGTTATTTTATTTTCATATCTGGACAAAATGTTTTGGGGCTTAATCTCCTCATCTCACAAAAAAACCTCCCAAACTGAACAGTTGACTGGGCTGGATTTGACTTAAATTAGATGAAATGTAGTTGACGTTACAATGTATGTACAGTATAGTGGGGCAGTGGGTGAAGAGGAAGAGCAAACCAAAACTTCATCCATGACAGAATATTTGTGTTGGAATTTAAAGCCATTTAATTATATTCTCTTATTTTCTGGAGCTGCATGACAAGGCTTTTTTTTTTTCATTCCATGTTGTAAGGCTCGGCTTCAATGGCCACAATGTTTTGCTGCTTAAAGAGGACTATATGGGATAAGATCAGTATGTTTCTATTCCCAAAACTTTAGTTGCTGGATGGATCTAGCATAGTCTCATGCAGTGTACAAGTTGGAGTGGAGTTAATGCTGAGATGCCTGTTCAACTGAGCGTGTGCACTGTTGGCATTCCCACTGAAGGCAGTGGGAGCCAGTTGGGACTTTTTATCTTCATGTTTTTGTCTCAGTTGGGATAACTTTGATTTATTTTCATCAAGAGCCTTTGACGTTTGCTGGAGGTCTATAGATAACTTGAAAGAGGAAAGAAAAAATTGTGGCTAAATACTATTGCATTAAACAGAAAAATGCACTTACTGTAATAAAAGAGCCAAGGTGGAGCATCCCTTCCATGCTGACTGTTCTTGTGATGGGCTTTCTGAGAGTTTGCCTTAATGCAGTGTTTGCAAAAGTTTGACAGAATTATTACTAAATATACAATGGCAATAGTGCAGACACTTGTCTATTTAAATTTAAGTGGTAATATAAATGTTAGGAGAGTCAAGGCGTCTATAGAGACTATGCTTGGACTGATCAACCCATGACTGGAAGATGGAATAAAACTTGTTCACTGTTTCCTTAGCCTTGGTGAAAAATGTTGATGGAGTTTTGGGGGTGGTTTTCCCTTTGTTTGTGTGTGCGTTTGGAGCACAGCGAATGAAGGCCTTGCATGTTCAGTCGTTGCTGTGTCTGGCTGTTTGCATTACTCTTCTGGATTCGTGTTTGCTTTTGTTGATTTAACCCTGATTGTCTCTGCATGTTTTGGCAGAATAACCATTTTTGGCGCTGTGCTCCTGTCCCTTGAGCGAGCCTGCTTCTGTCATGCCCTACAAACAGATTGTTGTGCATCGTAAGCTGTTTCCCTTTTCTCAGCTAGCAAGACCCAGGCTTTGCTCCACACTGTGGTGTCCTCAGAGCTGCCAGACCCACCTGTGAGAGTACTCTCCACTGGGAGAACATCCAGAAGGAGCATCCAGAGAGAAGGTCCCATGACCCAACCCAAAAAGCATGCTGGTGTGCCTGACCTGGTCAAGCCCAAGTATGAACACCGTGTGTTGGACAGAGCGCAGCCTTGCCCGCTGCAGCCTTGTCCCAGGCCTACCACACCCAGTGTGTTGCCTCATGACAAAGCCTCCTCTGGGATTCAGGCCGGATTAAACTCCCATTGTGCAGCTGTGTGTTGAAAGCAAGGCTCATGAGCATTATCCCTGCTTGGGACTGATAGCAGAGGTTATCCAGGTAGGCATAAACACCCCTGTCTGTCTGGGAAGTGTGCAAGGCACTTGATCAGTGTGCAGGCATGCAGCAATTCAGGATAGCAAAGGAAGGGAATAGCCTCCTGGAATGCTGTCCATGAGCAGGAAAACGCATAATTAAAATGTGCATAACTAGCTTGTGTTTTTCCCTTAACATGTGAAGTGGTTAGATGTAATCCTGCAGATCACTGAGGAGAGCGCAGGGGAGAGGGAGAACGGGAGCTGACCAGTTATTAGGGCATCTATTAGAAGCTTTTTGGTTTTAAAATATAAAAATTGTGAAATGTTGCTTGGAGCTCACAGTTGAGAAAGGAAGTTGCTGGAGTGAAGGGTGTAGCTCCTCTTTGGTGAGAGTCAGGTTGTTGATGTCCATGTATATTATTGAACTGGGCTTTTCCAATAATCTGCTCCAGTATCCTTCAGAGACCAGTCCTAGTCATTCCAAGATGCCTGCGTCCAAGGAAGTTAGACAGTGTTTGGGGCTGTGGAGAGTGGTTTAGTATAAGAAATGTGTTTGACAGGTATGTGCAATTGTTCTCATTATGCACAGTCACTTGATGGAGAGGCAGAGATGGGCTTTTCTGGCAGTAGTGAAGAGATCTCCTGATACAGGAGGCGAAAGCTTACCTGCTCTTTCAGTCTGTGTTTCCTCAGCGCCCGTGCTTTGCCAGCTCTGGACTTCTGCCCCGCAGCTCCAGCCAGCAATCCAGGCCTAGTGGGGACCAGTGGGCTGCCTTGCTTCCTAGGGTTGTGCATGGCCAGGCTGAATGGAATGGGATTAGCACACCCCTCAGGCTTGCAGAGCCTGGGATCAAAGGCCTCTTGCTGGCAGTCACTGATGGAGAATATCATCCATTATCTTTGTGTCTGATCACTTCCTAATCTCAGCACTAGCTGTTTGAACAGTTCCTCTTCTGGATGGTGGGGACTGAGGGACAGGGAGGACCAGGGGAGGAACACTAGCAGAGCAGGGGCTGATCCCTGGACCCTGACCTCCAGAGTAGTATCCTGAGGCTGAATATCCTCCTGGAAGTAACACAACACCTGCATTGCAAAGGGAGGGAAACACCACCTTTTCACAACGTGTAATTTTTCATTTTGCTCACCTCTGTTTTGCTGGTTTTTGTTCCTCTGCTCTGTCAGATTCTGGGTCTCACTCTAAAACTGTACCTTTGCCTGCACAATTATGCCCACAGGTAATAGGAAACCAGGGTTTCAAAAGAAAACCTGATCCCATTGCTAGATAATAGCAGTTTCCTAAATAAATGTGTGGTTGCCCGGGGGGGTGAGGTTGTTGCCAGATGCACCTTTTCTTGATTGGTGAGAACAAGAGATGACGCTTCCTGGCGTATAAGTGCAAGAGAAAACACGGGAGCACAGATAAGCACAGCAAGCGAGCCACCTGGAAGGAAGAGCTGAGAAGGTGTTAAAGCAGCTGCCTGCCATGGCATTTGGAATGCTAATCTATATTTTGCTGAAAGGTAGGTTTGGAGGAAGCTTTTCCATGTCATAAAATCCAGGGCTTTGTTGAACAATAGTTGGCCTCTTCTGAAATAAGCAGCGGGGTGGGAAGTGTGCAGAGACATTGCCAAGCAGAACCACTTCAGTTTGAAACCCAGATGAAATTTTAACTGGTAGGGTATAATTTAGAATTCTTTGAAAAGAATCTGCTTAGACTGGTGAAGAGATGTAAGGTTGTAGTATGTTACACATACCTGTGTCGTAAATTGTGTAAGATAATAGAGTGCAGAACAGGATGGGTTTGTATTTGGGAAATTTGCAAAACCGTATGTTTGCTTTCTCACAATCATAATTATGCCGTGGCAAAAGGAAGTTTGAGGCAAAAATGTTTTAAGTGAATTGTTATTATATTGCTGCCTTGTATGGGGGTTGTATGAAGTGCATGTTGTATGAAGTGCTTTCTAGGTGAAATGAACCTTGAATAGATATACTGAGCTTTTCTGTTCCAGTAAGCATCTATTTGCATTACACAGCAATGGGGGCACTGAGTGAAGAGTCAGCTATTACTGCTTCATCCCTCAGCACAGACTTATGGAATAATTGGACAAAAAACAACGCTGAAGGTATTGCTTTTTTGTTCTGTTTGCTAATCTGTCAATTAGAAAAAAAACCCAAACAAAAAACTCCACCAAAATCTATGGCATTAGCTGCTGTGGTGCTCCTGTCACTTGGACACTGTTGGATTTGTGTGATTTATTTGTGGGATGAGCTGCTTTCTTCATGGAGCCTTCGAAACCTCTCCGTACTCAGAGCTGCCACCCAGCTGGGATGGGCTCTGTGATGACCAGCTGAAGGATCATTTAACCCAAGTCAGCTATAATTTGAAGAAGACAGGGCTAATTAGGGTAGATGACCTGTGTTTCTAATGGCAATTTCTGTTACTTTTACCTGGTGCCTGGTTTCCATCTGTCTTCAGTGTGCACCTTGGTGTGCAGAAGTGAGAATGAATAAGCACAACTTCAAGCTATACCTCTCATGACTGTTACTCAGTGGTTTCTTTCTTTGTTGCAGTTTTGCTTTTGGCTGTCGTGGCTTCCACAGCCCTCCTCAGAGTGCTGGCTCTCTCCCTTGTTCCTTTCTTTTTTTCTGACTGAAATGTGAACTCAAGCTCTTTGCCTGCCAACATGTGAGAGCAGAGCACTGTTTATCCTGCCAGCTGCATTCTTGATGTTACTTGAGGTGCTGGTGATGTCATTGCTTTGGGAGAGCTCTGCGATCTGGGTCGGAGGTTTTGGCAGGTCAGTAAAGGAGGAAAGGGTTCTGTGATACTTATTAATGTCTTTGCACTTTAGAAAGCACATAAATATGCACGCAAACCATCTGCTGTTTATTCTAAGTCCTCTCAGGATGTCTTCCAAGCTTTCCTAGTAGATCCATAAGATTTTTATTTTTCTTAGAACAAGTCAAGCTGCTTTGTTTTTGTTTCTGATCTGTCATAGTGGTACAGTGTTACATATACATTCAGCCATACACATACTGTATATGTGGGTTTCATATATATGTACTTAAAATATGTATGCACACACATATGCATGTGAAGTCAAGAAGATGTTGATTTTTGCCCGCAGTACTTTGGTTTAGCAGCTCAAGCACTGTGGTCTGGTTTAGTGTGTCTGTGTGTGACACGGTTCTTGCAGAGCTGCATACAGCAAACAAGAGGATAATGAAGTGGAAATATGTTGTGGCTCATTAAGTGTCCTGTTTGTGTTGTTTCTAGAAAGCAGCAGTGATGGGTCATGTTTTAACAGAGAGGAGACTTATTTACAGGGTCACAGCCATGTCTGTAGTTGTCCTGTGAATCTTTATGACAGCTGGGGCCATGGTAGTCAACAGGATACCAGCATTTCCCTTAGAGAGTGTTCCACTCAGAGGTAGAAACAAATTCAAAAACATTCAAGCACACGTTTATGTGAAGAGTTAAAAGTATATTCCGGTGGGCCTTTTACAAAGCCACAGAAAAGCTAGAAAACAGCATTTCCAGAAGGAAGCTCGAAAAGAAATGCCACCAGAAAAACTGGCTGAATCTCTCTGAAGTTTCCTGGTAGCTCCTATTCCTGTGCAGTGTAAGTTTATAGTAAGATTTACAACCGGGGTTCATAATAGTGGATTCTAAAAAAAATGAATTCCTGGTTCAGTATCCACTGGAGGAACTGACAGTTTCTTGTGGGATTCAAGTCCTCTGGAGACTGAGGTGCAGTTTGTGGAAAATCACTAATTTCTGCTCAATCCCTTTGCCTCCTATTTACAAGATCATGTCCTTTTTCCTTATTTATGTTACATAGGCTTTACTTGTCACCAGCACTGGGGATAGGGAATGTTAGGCTCAGTGATCAGCTGTGGGAGGGAGGGTCATGCAGAGGAGGTGGGAGGAATGGCATGGCAGGAATACAGAACTTCTGACACAGTTGGGGCTGAAACAGAGCCTTCACAGCAAAATGGACAGCCAGGAGTAGGGAAGGGCTTGGTTTCACTGGGGAAAAAATGGGATCGCTTCGTTGCTGTCAGCTGGTTTTTCCATGCAGCCTGTAAAGGAGGCTCTGAACCTGTGGCTGACCCCTTCCCTCCTTCCCTCCCCTTTTGGACTCTCCCGTTCCTCTCCAGTGCACCATATTTGAGGGCTGAGCTGTCCTGGGCTTACTGGCTGACTCTTTGTTGCCAGTCTGTCAGTTTTGGCAAGCCCAGGCTTCCAAGTGCCTGTAGCCTGGATTTCATGTCAGCTCTTGCCAGCTGTATCTGTTTGAATGACTCAGTTGCAGGCAGCTGTCAAGTGCTTACACTGCATGTTTCGCTCTCTTCACGTGACATGAAAGGGCACATGGACGTGTTTATTCCACAGCTTGTTTAGTATTTAGGTGGACAGTATGATGGGAATTAGCATAATGCTCTGGGGTGGGTTAGAAAAGCGTTCTTTTTTGTTTTCAAGACTCATTCTTTCAGAGGTCAGTTGTACTTTTGCAATGCCAAAATAATTAGCACACGCAGTTTTTGTGTGTAGACTTAATATCTGATCTTGCAAACCCACAATGGACCAAGCTCTTCCTCCTGACAGCGACGGAGGAATGTGTTGGTCTGTCTCCTGCTTTCTAGGCAGACTGCTGTTCCAGGCTGACCTGGGATTCTAATAACAGCAGCACTCAGGGAAGAGGATCACGGGCATGCACAAAGCAAGGTTTCCTGCAGGCGTTGGTAGTAGAAGGCTGCCACCTCTCGGCAGTGCTGGTGTGAGTGAGGAGGGATTCAGGATGTGGGAACCCAGGCGGTGGAAGTGGGAGGTGGCTGGGGATTTCATGCCTCTGCAGTGTGGATTTGTACCTTCCACATGTTTCTTTTGTTTGTTTGTTTGTTTTTTCTTTATGGCAGAGATAGAAGTGAAATATTAAATCTGTGCAATAGGCATCATCTCAGGGCCTAGCAAAGAGTAGTACTTTGGGTGGCAGGAACTGCAGGTTAAAGGCTTAATTTGATGGGTTATTTTTAGTGATTTCCTACTGCACTTTGTGCTTAAATGGAGATTCAAAACAGTTGGTGCCCAAGTGTTTGAGGTGAGTCCTGGGGAAAACATGAATGTGCCACTGCCTATTTTCTGAAACTCTTCCCTGCAGAGCTTTGGTCTGCAGGTACATTAGGCCTAACTGAAAATGGGATTTTGCAGATCCCCTGCATCCTGCATCTCCTTGGCAAGCCCAACTCTGCAGCTGTGTTGACCACATGCCTTGTTTTCCTTTGTGCTTTCCCCATCAGAGAGTAATGTACAGTCCTCCCGTGCACAGTAGTGTCACCCATCTCTTGTCACAAGACCTGTCTTTTCTTCCTGACATCTGTCCTCTCTTAACTTCTTCCTGAAGTCTGTCCCTTCAAGGCCTGTCCTGTGCTGACTGTGCCCTGAGCCTGTCCCTGGAGGTTGTCAGCAACATTCTGGGAGCCAGCCAGAGAAGAGTCAGACCTGAATTCTAGGGCCAGACCAACTTGTTCCCTTTCATTGTGTTTCTAGGGTCCACAGTGTGAAGAGAAACTTGTGATTTTTTTTTCCCCTTGCAAAAATGGGTAAGATGCCCTTTTCTCAGCCCTTAGAAGTTAGTTTTAAAACAACATGTGTTTCTTCCACCTCTGTAGCTTTTCCTGAGGAAGTGTAGTAAACCAACATGGCATTTTTCAATCAGATTTGAATTGTTACTTGTTCTCCTTGAGTCCTCTTGCTAAGCTGGAAGTCTGATGACTCTGTCAGGTTTGAGAGGGCACTGTTCTCAAAGTAGCTGTGTTTGATCTGAGTATCAGTGATAGCATCATGCCTTTTGGGTGTCCAAACCACATCATTCACAGCTGAAGTTGTGAATTGCCTCAGCTAGAGCAGCTGTCTGCCATCGCCTGTCATCTCTGTGATAAAGCTGCAGAAGGAGGAAGAAAAAATCAGCTTAGTAGAAATCTCCCCTGTGTGCTCTGCCATTAAATGTCTTGAACTGGAATATGATGTGGAATTTAGGGGGGCAGTGGTGTTACTCCTGAAAGATGTGTAGTGGAATCATGAATTGCCCATAGGATTGCTTGAGGCTTCTGTCCATGGCAGTGGTTCTATGTAGTATCTCCAGACCTTGATTCAGCACTTAGTCAGAAAGGAAGGGTTCTGCTTGCTGTACCATTGTTGTGTCACTCCGAGCAGACCTTGTCACCTTCCTGCATGATGTTATTTTTCTTGTGGTCATAACTGAAAGCTGGTGTTGACATGCACTTGGTTAGGAAATCACCTTCAGCCACCACTAAAGCAGTCTCCTGAAATAGGAAGGCATTGCTGGGACACCCCACCCCACAAGTGATTCCTGTAACCGAGTAGAGGGACCAGTTGGAACAGATGCTTGCAGTGACGGTGAAGCTTTGGAGCTTTCCCTCCACTTGCCGCACCCCTGCTCCCGTGGCTTCTTTATTCCCATTTGAGCCACCATGGCTGAGAAAAAGGTAGCATTTTCTGTGCAGGAAGTGTGCCTGCTGACATGGAATTTGTATGAGTTCAGAAGCTAGGTAGCCATGGACCGAGCTTTTTGCACAGGAAGATCATCCAGGCAGTCTTGGGGGCTTACTAGTGTCATTGGACACTCTGCTAACATTAGAACGTGGAGGAAGGAGGGAGCAGTCCCACCGTTCATCCTCCCTCATGGCTGCAGAGCTGGCAGGCAGGAGTGCTAGAAGTGCAGTAGTTTATCTTGTGAGCAGGAAAAGAAAAAATGAATTAAGTATTAATTTGAATTCAAACTGGGAAGGATACAGAGAATAATGCAGTGCTCTTCATGTGTCCTAAACTCCTGCTATTCCTGGGATGATTTTCCTATTTGGATTGCAGGTTGGATAATGTGGATGTTACCCCGGATGAATCTCCCATTATCATGTTTGTACACATTTGTCAAGAGCAAGCAACTGATTTACAGTTTGTGCTGTCTCAAAGCCGTGCTGGAACGTCTCAGCAGCTTGTTCTGTTTTGTGCTGATTGAATCTGCTCTCGGACAGAGCACAGTAAAATCGATGTATTAAGTGTTTGCTGCACACAATGGCTGTTCTGCTTCAGTTGTGAAAGTATATTCAAGTGATTTTTTTGGTGCTAAAGTTAACATGACTTTATTCTGTTTCACAGTGGATTACACAGAGCAGCCAAAGCTCTTGAAGCTCATGCAGACCTGCCTTGAGGAACACCACAGCTATTGTATCAACGGGCTCTGTGCTTTCCACAGCGAGCTGAGGAAACCCATATGCAAGTAAAGAATGCTGCTTTTTAGTATTCTCCAAAACTAGCACTGCCATTGTTTCTACCTGCAGGGTACTAATGCAGCTTTTTAGTGCCAGTCAAGTACTTGCAAGCTTAAAATATGGCACAGACCCGAGTGCTGTGGTGGCTCGGGACTGCTAAAGAGGCTGTAGTGCTGTACTAGTGTAAATGGACTAAAGAAGGGAGGAGGGGGATTCACAGCTTTGGAGGTCACTGCCATGGTGCCATTTCAAATCACAGCTGGTAAGTAGTAGAGGAATAAGTAAATTTTCACAGTTGGCAAGAGGAAGGGGACAGGATCTTCCAAAATGTCAGCTGCAACTTCCTTATTCCACAAGTGCCTACAAACCAATTGGGACCATGGTGTCCTTAAAATTCTGTAGGATCCTTACTGGGCAACTTTGGCCTTGGGAGACATTGCAGCAGGTAAGGATCATCAGAGCACAGTGTTCTTAGTCGACACCCTGCACCATGAGGGGATGTTGAGACTGCATTGCTGCTGTGACTGCAGTACTTGAGCTAGCTTTAAACTAGATAAACTGGGGCAATTAGTAGTCTTGGTGGAGGGAAGAGGTTCTGACTGAGCACCAGGTTCAGCCCGTCCTCATTTGGACTTCTGGTTTGTTTAAAACTGATGAAAACTAACACGCGTCTGAAATAGAAAGCATAACAAGTTCTGAATAACTTTTGCATGGTGTGTATTTATTTTGTAGGTGCCTTGCGGGTTATAATGGAGAAAGGTGTGAACATTTAACACTGAATTCATATGCACATGATTCTTACGAGCGCTACATAGCTGTGGGAATTGGTGTAGGAATACTGACCAGTGGAATACTTGCCATCATCTACTGCTACGTAAGAAAGAGGTACGGGAGATCTGGAACCTTCTGATTGAATTAATCTGAATTAATTGATCAATCAATTGAATTAATTGATTGCAAAAATATGAACTGGAGGGCTCTGGGAGTGTGTTCTTGCCTGTTGCTCATCTGCGGTGTGATCTTAAGGGAACTAACACTCTACCTCTGCTTTCCCTTCTGCCAGTGGGTCAGCAGTGTGATTGTCTGAAATGCGGGGCTTGCCTGGGCTGCCTGAATGAGTTAGATGATTGGACTTTGGTTCTGTTCAGTGTGCTGTGCTTTTGTCTGATAAAAATCACAGCATGGTGTCCATTTTAGATGCAGGAAATTGAAATCCCCCTACAAAGTCTGCGTGGGTGAGACGGCACTGTGAAGGTCTGGCACTGGGACACTCACCAGTTTGCCTGCAAAGGAGGGGAAGGTCTGCTGGGAAGGCCCCCCTGCACCATCCGACAGGTGCCCCAGCCTCGCAGAGGAGATGAACTCGAGGGAATGGCAGAGGAGGATGTGAAGGGAACTCCTGCAGAACTGACAGGCTCCGTTTAGTGTTGAAGAAAGACCTCCTCTCCTTGGTAAAGGTGGCTCATGCTCAGGTCCAAGCAGCTGAGGGCACTGGCAGGCCTCTTGACGCTCTCCTGTGGTTGGTGTTTGCCAAGGGAAGGACCTGGTTGGTTTTAGCTGTTTTCAGTCATTTCAAGCCCTAGAACAGTGTTCCGCTTTGGTCTTTTGTGTGTTTTGTTTTGGTTTTTTGTTTGTTTTTTCTTCTTTTTTCTCCTGGAGGAAAAGCACCACCTCTCTCACAGTGGAGCTGTATTCTGGACATCAGGCACTGACCAGAAAACATTTGGATTCTGATTTTGGTGTCTGCTGGCTGTGTGTGTGGATAAACATCCCTCTTTCAACCCAGCTGTTACCTCCAGTGTAATGGGCCAAGTACAGGCTTCTGCTGCCATAAAGGACAAAACCAAAATGCTTTGGACTGAGGACAATGACTGGTTTGCAAAAGTTTTCTTAAACTTAGGAATAGAGACTAAGCAATTCCTGGAAAATTAGATCATGACACCTCTGGGCATGGCATGCTCTCATTGTTTTCATGAGCAAAGGAACCAGGCATCTTTCTCAAAATGGATTATGGAGTGTGCTTCTGACAAAGAACCTTTCTCATCCCAAACATCATCCAGCAGCTCCTCAGATCCATGGAACTTCAGGCAGAACATTGCCTTGCTGCACCCTGATTTCTGCACAAGACTTCAATTTCTAGAGAAGCTGGAATTTTTTCTAAAACTTCAGTACACAGGAAACAGACTACTCCATTCTCACATTATCAGCACAATGTGACCACTCAAATAAGAAAAAAAATTATCTTGGGGATTTGGTTCTACCCTGGACAAACATATCGGATGCTTGGCTCTCTTCATCTCATCTACAAAGAATTTCAAAGGTACAAAGATTTTGTTCAAAGAAAAGAGAAGAAAATTGATTCTGAAGATGGTGGCACTAACTGGGACTTCTCAGTGACAGCTGGAGTGTTTGCCAGTGCTGACGAGACTGGAGATGGTTCTCAGAGGTTTTCATTTCAGCTGTTGTACGTTTTAGACTCACCTGCTGTGCTCAGTCATCTTCCAGAGAAAGGCAGTTGGTACTTGAAGATTTTGTGGGGTAATATCAGCTCCTAAATTCAGGTGACTTGCTGAAAGCGCAGTTTCTTTGTTATGTGAATTAATTTTCACAGCAGGAGGCATGTTGCTTGTTGAAAAAACTGTGTATTTGTGAGACTATGGTGACAATTCTGATATGTGAATGAAAGGTGGAGTTTGAAAGGGTTAAAAGTGCCTGTGGCACTCAAGTGGTCTGGAGTTCAGGGGGCTTCTTCCATGGGGGTCCTGGTCAGTAGCTGAGCCATTTTGGCTCTCCATGTGATGCCAACAAATAAAACAGCACATCACTCACTGTTTGGAATCCCACATATCAGAGGGAACAAGCGGCACATGCCTGGATTGAGACCAGTCCTTTCCTCTGCACATCAACATCAGCATTTTCCAACTCAGCCTTTTTGTCTTCTTCATCTCAAGTTAAATCCTCAAATCTCTGCATTGTTTGCTCCTTTCCATTCTTCTGACCTTTTATAAATGTCCACTGCCAGACAACTTGTGCTCTTCACAATTTTCAACTCAGCTTTCAGTAGTGGCCCCGCCGTTTTCTGTGTCACACGTGTGTAGTGAGAGGGCAACGATATGTGAATTACAGTCTGTGTATCCACACTGAGGCACAGACAAAAACCACCCTTCACCCCTCTCACATGGAAATACCTATTGAAAACATGCATGCTGTCAGGAAAACACAGGTGAGAGATCTTTATTATCGATCTCAGAGAAAATTTTAGAGCTAAGTATCCAAAGGATGAAAAACCTCAGGCTTTTTGTCAGGAGTGCATCTCCCTCTCAAGAGTGAGTTGTCTCTTCCTGTGTGCACGCTGCCAGTGTTGGATTCACCCCCCGGGGACCAACCCTCCTCCGTCGAAGAGGCTCTGTCTTGGAGCAGGCACACACCTTCCTCAGGGGGTACGTGCAGTTGTTAAAGAAGTTCTAAGGGCGGGAGTTTGAGCAGCAGGACATTGCCTTGCCTAAAGAAAGCTGTTGGAGAGATGGATTTGGTTTGGTTTTAGCTGTTTGTATGTCCTCTTACTGATGTTTTTTATACCCTTAATGTACCAGTGGCCAAGCAGGTACCTTACAGGATATGGGAGTTGTTCTTCAAAAGTATTTACTCATTGCAGTGAGACATTCTGTACCTATAGAAAACACACACTAAATTTTTTTTCATGTTTAGTTAAACGTAACTGAACAGGAAGGTTTACTTCAAGGCCACAATTTACCAGGAGACTACATAGTGAAATATGTTTTTCCAGTTGGCTTTCTGGCCCAAGGCAGCTTTGGAGGGGCTACCAGTGTGAGTTTGCTGAGATTTTTTTGTTAGTGGAAGAAAAGCTGGAGAATGAAACACCAGATGAGTGTGTGCCACACAAAATGAGACTTTGTGTCAGGGTAGAATGAGAATAAAATGGAAAGACAAAGATGAGCAGAAGGAAGGAAGCAAGCAAGTGGAGGTCTTTGCTGTATTTTAGCATTCTTTGTCCAAATGGTGTCAAGGCTTCCAGAACTGGGTTCCTCCCCACCTGGGTGCTGTGTGCCCTTCACGCTGAAGCACAGGCTCGGAGCAGGCCCAGGCTGTGTTTGAGGCATCCCTGCCTGCCTGACTCACTGTGCAGTTTGGTACAGTGCCCTGGCTGAGGAAGCCTGCCCTGCCTCAGATCGCTGCGTGGAGTCAGCCCTGCTGAGCCCTGCCTTGATCAGTGACAGATGCTGCCAGCCTGGTATGGTGTGTTGCTGCTTACGGTGCTGAATTTCCTGCAGAACTGGCCTGTCAGAGGATCAGGATCATCTTTCCTGGCTCATTTATCAGGCTCAGAGCCCTTCTGTAATGGCATAATTAACAGAGTTGTAAACTTCTCCTTCCCATTCTAGCTGCACGTGCCAAAAACTGTCATTTCAAGAGGAGTCCCTGTGTTTGTGTGGCTTTTAGGCTGGCCTGCCTCAGCTGTGAGGGGCACCAGCTCCACAGGGCCGAGCCAGAGACATCAAAGACCAGGACCAGCCTTTCCAAAGGACAGAACGCTTGCCCTGTGCATGATCCTGGCTGGTGGAACCATACTGGCTTTTCCTGCAGCACATCTCAAGCCGAGTTGCCCTTAAGCCACCCAGCCCTCAACCTGCTTCACTGGCATCTGCAGCCGCTGTGCAGGTGTGCTGGGCTGTGACTTGAACACCTCCCTCAATTCAACACCCACTTCCTGCTCTGGCGTGTGGGTGGCCTGCAGTTACTGATCCCAGCAAGGACTGTTTCAAACAGGGAGGTGCAAGCCTGGGGAAAAAAGGGCTGTGCTTTCCAAACAGTCCTTCCTGCCAGGGCACACTGTGGGGAACAGCGGTGCCGTGATCGCACTCGGAGCTGCACTGGCACAGGAGCACCTGGGCCAAGAGCCAGCCAGCCACTGCAGACAGTGCCAGAGGCTCCTGGAGAAGGTTTTTGAGCTCTAGTGGCAAGCAGGTAGGTAGGAAACAGTTTTCCCTTGGAGAAGATTTTGCCTTGTTCTTAGTAACCCCGAGTATGTTTTGATAGTGACACAGCAGGGTTTCTGGTCCATCCCACTTATAGTAAAAGTACAAATCCGGTTTACACTACTGCAGCCAGCACAAGGCTGCCTGTCATGTGGTCTGAGTGTAAGTCCTGCTTTGTGTACTAAGAACTACCTGTAAAACTGGTTACTTGCTAGTGACTCTCAACTTCATGCAAAAAAAAACCCCAAACCAAAAATCAAACAGAACAAAATCAACCCCCCAAAAAATCATATGGCTCTCAGCAAAGTTTTAGAGCTTTGTAATTCTTTACGCTCATTAGATGTTTTGTTTAATTTCTGGTCCATGAAATACACTGTAGCTTTCAAAGCATCCCACAAGGAGAAGGCTAATTTGGCAAAATAATTGATATAACTAAGTTCAGAAAGCTCCTGTGACCCCTGAAGTTCTCAGTCCGTAATGGATTTGTCTTTAGAGCATCCCCAGGAAGCAAAGCAGTGCTTCAGGAATAATGTGCTGTGGAGAACTAAGACAGGGAGGGATTAAAGTCACCTGAAGGAGAGGCATCAAACTTTTCCAACCTCTTCAATAACTCTTCCGTGAGTTCTTTTAAGAACTCCAGTGGTGCTCTAGTAGGTCAGTAACACAGCAGCAGTGCTGAGAGGGGAAAGACGGGTCAGTCTTGGTAAAGTGCAAGTTTCATGACAGCACGGTGGCATCCGCAGTGACTTGTAGCCGCTCATATCTGTCCTGAGCCTTGCTCTGAGCAGGGAAACGCCTGTAGAGGTCCCTATTGCACTGCAAATTCAGGAAACCAGCCGGGACTCCTCCTTTACGACCCAGTTAACAAACAAACAAACAAAAAAGTGCAGGTACTCATTAAAAGCTCAGTGTGAGTAGTCATTAATTATCATGACAGCAATAAAATCTTGTGCTGGGACTCGACGTGGGGCTGCTCCTACTCTCGCTGAATTGACTGGGAGCGAGAGCAAGTTCTGTGAGCAGCAGATGGAGGTGAGCACAGCCAACACCGCTGGGGTGTGCATGAGAAGGAAATGGGCACGGGGCTGCTGCTGGGAGCGCCGGGACTCCTGACCCCTTGGCCTCTTGGCTGCACAGCTGGGAAGAGCTCGCTGTCGTGTGGCTTCGGGATTAGGAGTTGAGGCACAGGCTGGTTTTGGCTGAGAGCAGAGTTTGGCTTGCTGTGTAAGGCCAAGGCCTGTGTGGGCAAGCCCACCTCTGAATGAGAGCTTGTTCAATTCAAATTAAACTTCTCATTTAATTTTTATAAATATAAACATAAAATTTGTCTGCGACACACAATTTCACAAATTAGGATTAAAACTGTTTTAAATGCTTATTCTCTGGAGCAGTTTGGGATGAGCTGAACTTGGGAATCGAGGCATGCCTTACATAGCACTTTGGAGGGCATTTTCCACTTGATAGTTTGCTGGGTTTTTCCCCTATTGTGGAATTAGGGCCACTTGTAAAATGGAGCTTAGCTCTGAGCTCAGTTTTCTAACTCGTAAAAAGGTCAGAGGTATCCAAAGGCTAGGTTTTGACATTGTCCATGCCTGAAACGGAGTAATTTAAAAGCTAATTTTTAATGATAACCTCATGTTGAATTTATCTGGTGATATTGGCAAGCAAGTTTCCTTGTAGAAATTCTCTCGTGGCATTTCTTTTTAACAATATTTTGTCCTTTAATAAGCAAAAATGCTGTTTGCTGTACTTCAAATTCCCGATACTCAAATCTAAAGCTGAGTTTCCTGGCCAGGACTGACCAAAATGCAGCATTGACTCTGCTGATGAGAGTCAGGGTGTTACTGAGTACAAATTGATGTGCTGTTACCTTCAACTTCCCAAGCTGAGGGGCCACACTGAGATCCAGGGATGGGAGTGTTGGAGCTTTGTCACTCCTTGAAATCTGTAACGCTCTTTGCTTTTTTTAATCGTTGTTCAGGTTTTTTTGGTTGGGGGCACAGGGGATGCGGGAACCCTTCCTCTGTCCTCCGTGTTCAGTGCCGTGGTGCAGAGATGCCTCTCCATAGCCCCCTCTGACTGAGAGCACAGCCAGGGCTGTGGAGAGGACAGGGCCGAGCTTTGCAAGAGCATCTGACTAACCGAGGCAAAGCTGACTTGTTTGACATCATTTCGGTGCGTCAGGCTGGGTCTGTTTGTGTGCCATTGTTGTGGCAAATCCCATGATGAACGCCGTGCTATTGACTCCTGCCGGCCGTTTGACGGAGCGCGGCAGCGGATTTGGCCGTGAGCGCTGTTCCAGGAAGTGTCTTAAGAGATGCCAACACCAAATTTAAAGGCTGTGGGGCAACAGCTGGGCCTCTCGGGGAGCTGGGGCAGCTTTATGTCATGGGGAGGATAAGGAGCTTCCCTTGGGTGCATCCCTGCTCTGCGGGCCCCACAGCGCAGCAGCCACCTCCGGGTGGAGGTAGCAGGGCAGGGTGAGTCAGTGACACGAGGGGACCCCGAGTTACGGGCCTTCCCAGAACACACACAATTTGGCTGAGAGTTCTGTGTCTGTTCCCTTCATTTCAAGGCTGTGACATCCCATGTTCATGTGCATTTCTTGGAGGGATGCTGTTGAGGAGGAGAAACTCAAGGAGGGCCCCCAAGTGGCCTTGTCTGTGTCTGTGGGTTTGGAGACTCTCAGCATCTCAAGTGTTGGGTTGTTGGGTACAAATCTTTGTAGCTCTGGCATGACATTTGGTGGACATTGGCAGCTTAATCTGCCTTATATCTCAGGATGGATGGCTCCTGAGGTGCCCTTTCGGGCTGTCTGGGTTTGCCAGAGTGAACCAGCACACTGAATTGCAGGCAGGACTCCTGAGGAGCTGAGAGACAGGAAATTCTCTTGCCCTTTCCCCTTGCCTTGTTGATACTTCTCTTGACTTTGGTGGCGTGTTCACGGTGTCTCACGTGCAAAATACATTTGAAAGTTCTCCCTCAGGCATTTCTCATCTGTCTCTAGAATTCCTTCCTCCATCACTAACTGCATTTTCCATCAAGATTACAGCAGGAAAAAAATGTTCTCTATGGGCTAGGTGCTCCCCTATGCATGAAAAATGTGTGCAGGAGCCAAGAAACACTAGGAGTTTGTTCCTGATTGTTCCCAAGAAGAATGGGCAGTGACGCAGGCGAAGGGCACGACCTTACACCAACACACACACGTTCTGAGGCCTGCACAGAAACAGCTGTGCTCTCACTGCAGCACTGAGGAGTTTGGGGTGTCTGACCCAGCTGGGTGTCCCCTCGCATTCCTCCCTAACCCTTCTGGTCCAGCGGGGGCAGGTGTCTCTCCTTCAGGAGCAAGTGCCCGGATGCAGAAGGAAGCACCTCGGTGGGCTCTGTGTGGATGCTGCAGAGGGGCATTTTGGCCCTGGTGCTGAGCTCTGCCAAGGGCTGAGCTGCTCCCTCTCTGGAGAAACTGTAAAAGGTCTTGTAGGGCTGGGAGGAAAGATGGAGCCTGCTGTCCTTGCTTTCCTCTCTGTCACCTGACCATGTTTGCACTGGTATGAAGTCCTTGGTTCCTTTAGGCAGAGGGGGATTCCCCTGCGTTCAGTGCCACTGTAAACTTGCCAGGTGCCCTCGTGTAATTCAGGTGCCATGTGCAAACTGCAGCCTGGAAGGACTTAAAAGGGGTGTTTGATTCCAACTAAGGGTTAATTTGATTGCTTTTTAAACTATTAAGGGTTTGTGACATGTAATGGTGCAATACCTCCACTGAAGGCTTTTCCAGAGAATTATTCGTAAAACAAGGATCTGTGATTTTCCCAGTTAGCTCTGGCCAAACTCCTAGCCCTGCTGCAGGCTGTAGTAAAACAGTTGTTGACTTCAGTGGGTGCAGACTTGGCCTACTTGCACCACCTTGAATCTTTGAGTATTTAGGCATTCATGGCTTTTAAATGCAGTGGGATTCTTAATATTCTCTTTTGTTTGTG